ATACTGAGTACGATTGCGAGAAAACCAATTACTTGAAAATGTTTCAATTAGGACAGTATGTGTGACACAATAAGTCCAATAAGACAGAACAATAAAAAAATATTCGTTCAAATGGATCTTCAATATCAATGCAAAAATAAATATTTAATTAACATATGCGTTTTTATTCAATAGATTTTTTTTTTGTAATTTTTTTACTCAGTGCCTCAGGTGATGCTCGAGTAGTTGTTTCTGTCGTTCCAATCGCATTTACTACGATGCTGGTTTTTGACTCTGGTTTTATTTTATTGGGCGTGGTTTGGTTTCTATTAATTGGATTACCTGACCTTGTTTGTGTACCTTTAAGGACAGGTAGCCAGATTCTATTAAAGTTCGTTGCCTCTTCTTATCTATTGAAATTATCCCTATGTTTTTGAATTTATATTGCCTCTCTATATACACTTGGATGATAATTTTAAGTTTTATCGAGTATTATTATATCTTTGAATGATAAAATGTGATAACTGTCGACTCGGACCAACCGACAAATCAGCTGTAGCCTAACATGCTCTCAACAAAGAATGCACTCACATTATCTGCAGCTCTATTTCTATTTATGAAATTTCATAACTTCTGCAACGAGGAACTTTTCAGATATCTTCAAAGAATTACTCAAAAAAAATCTGGCTTTGATTTCAAAATTTTTTCAGTTTCCAACTTGGAATCATATTTCATCATCAAAAATAGAATTGAAATGAAAAATGCGATAAAATTTTTGTGTGGGCAACACGTGAGCAAGCCGAACAACCCGTTTTAACCGAAGGTAAAACATTCTTTCGAAAAATGTTCTGCACTTTGGGAAATGTTTTGAAATTTTGTATATCTGCAATAAATTGTTCTTGAAATATTCGCAAAAAGTTAATACCTCTTCATTTTGTTTCAACTTCAAAACTATTTGTTTGCGGAATTTTGTTTCAACCGTAAAATTCTGTGTGGTATTACAAATCGAATGACACCCTAATAATAAAATTTGGTCAAGACTCAAAAATTACAAATTGGTACTTATAAACTAGACTATCTACCGCAATGTGTCGCGCCAGGATAACAAGCCGGACTAATTGTGCTTGTAGCGAGATGAAAGCGGAGCACTTTAATTATAATCAAATTGAATTTTTGATTATGTTTCTGTTTAGGTGCGAGATAATTCAAAACTCGTTGACACTATCTCGGTGGAAAATACTTTATTTTCTCTTGGACAAGGGCGTTTACTCGCTTACTTTGCCAAGCACTCTTCAAGTTGTTTCGGATTTTAAATATGTATTGGCTCTTCTTCAAGAAATTTAATGTGAAGGAGTTATAATTTATGTTGTGACATTGAAAACAATTCAAAAAGTACTTAGAAAAATTCATGTGCGGAAAGAAACTGCATTCTGGTCTTGTCAAAACTCCTTAAAATAAATAACATTATATAAGAAACAGTGGATTATCATTTTGTTTTTTTTTGTTTGTTTGTTGTTTTCTGTAATATTTTTATCACAGAAATCAATTGTTCCAAATCGTTTCTACAGCAGAAAGTACTCAAGATGTGTCGAATGAAAAATCTTTCAAATTTTTCCAGTATGTTATCATAATTTGTAAAATAAGTCAGCCTACCTTTAATTCATTGAATGATTTTTCCAAAATCCCATTGACTCTCTGTCGTGAATATTCATCACTCTTTTTAAACAACGTTCAAATTTTTCGAAAATATACGGTGGTTGTGATATGATTTGTGACAGAAAATTTAAAAGCACCTAAAAGGTACTAATATGTTGTTGAACAATTTTGAACAATTCAAAAAGTACTTAGAGAAATTCATGTATGGAAATGAACTGCATTCTGGTCTAGTCAAAATTCCTTGAAATAAATAACATTATATGAGGAATAGTGAATTATCATTTCGTTTTTTATATTTTATGACATCTTCTGGAGAATTTATTCAATATTTTATTTTTTTTACAAGAATCAATTGTTCGAAATCATGTCTACGGCACAGAAAGACCTCAAGATGTATTTTATATAATTTAATCAACTTTTTTTTAAACAGAAAACACAAGTATTACAGAAAAATCTTTAAGGCGCTCTAAGAGCACTGCCTTTGTAAAAATAGCAATTCACGTTGGATTTGAATCGCTTGAGAATAAATTCATTTGGAAAAACGTTCTCAGGAAGTTTATTTTACATAAATGCAGTTTTCCAAATGGAAGAGTTCTTAAACAGTGAAGTTCTAGTTGTACTGAGTTGAACCTCAAAACGATGAGCAGCCACAGTCCGTTGCTCATTTCTGAGGTGTGAACAGTTTTGTGGTTCGGAACAGTGGTCTAAGCTTTTGAGAGGCAGCCCTTGCTATTTCATCGACATTATTTTGCCAAGACATATTGATGTCCATTTCAACCCCAACAAACTTACCGAAGCAGAAAGCGGAATTGTCTGTCCTGACATTATTATATCCGATTCGGAGACATTTATCTTTTTGAAGAAGACCGATACCTTGGTTTTTGTGGAATCGAATTGAACCTGGTCAGTTTCACTCCAATTCGAAATCACTTCTAGATCCTCATTAAAATATGCAACCTCCTGCTGCCGGTGAAGATGTGCATCTGCAGCAGATGTCCCGGAATCCAAATGGAATGACAAGTGTGCTGTCGTCAGCGCAAAGCAATATATTGGATTCATTGAATGATTTTTTCGAAATCCCATTGATTTTCCGTCGTGAATATTCATCTCTCCTTCCAAACAACGTTCTAATTTTTCGGATTTGTCACGGAAAATTAAAATGCACTGAAAATGTACTAATATGTTTCTGAGAAATTGTTTTCATTACGACTATCGTCAAACTTAAACCAGTCCGTTTCGTCTTTGACCAAGGCGTAATAATAACCAAATTCAACGCTAGAACCACAGTGAACAATGACTGCATGAATATTATAATAGTGGTCTGCTAGATTGAAAGATCATCTATTTCAAACCTTCCAAAGAGTTTCTTGCTTCCGTCAGAGGTTGAGTCTTGTTTGAAGGTCATCAGTGTTATTATTAAATTGACTGGTGCCTCAGCTATACATACATACAAACTCAATTAGGAGTATGAATGTGTTAACGTACTGTCATCGTGACATGAGTAAATTTGCTCTTTCGGTGACAAGAAGTTGTAATGTTATGAATTAAATGAGTACTTCGTCTTGTAATGTTATCCAAAAAATTGCTGAAGAAGTAATCACTCTAGTGCCTTATTCCGAAACTTTGAAGTACGCCATCAAGGATAATAGTGTAAGTTATAAGTGAAATTGTATATCGTAACTCTTTCATTTATCAGATTGTGTAGAGTTGCTATGAGTGATATCTCTTTCAATCCCATATCGAATATAAGGAGTACGAACTGAATAGAAAACTAGTGATTATGTCTTCTTTCGTAATTTTTTTACATTTTCTGAATAATGATAGAGAAAGCCACAGAACTTTTTTGAAAAACTAATCTATCCTGAGAAATAATTTTTTTTCCAAAACAAATCATTTAATAATCAATAAATTTTTTTAGTACTCTCAAAATATTCTCTCAATTTACGTCTCGTAGGGTGGGTGAACTAATCTGTATTTGATTTGAAATTGGCAGAGACTGATAAAACTAATAACTAATGACTGATACTAATGATTAGTTTCGGACACAAAAATTGTATTCCAATAATGGAATCAAATTGACCATAGAGGAACGCTTATTTTTTGAGCGGTTTTGATTTTACAATCAAATTTGTTAATACATTCGAGAATGAACTCATTCAGATCTTATCATCCCAAAACTACAAGACAGGCATACTGTTGAGAGCCATATAGAAGTCAAAAACAATATGGTGACGGCGCAAGAATCAAACAAAAGTTTTCAAAGGGAAGCGTAATGCAAAATTGCACACAATTTCTGACATAGGAATTGTAATTCCTGTGCTAGGAATTACAGAGACCACAAACCTTCTGGTGCAAGACCGTAATATTCAATTGAAAACATTTGTTTGGTGGCGTACTGTAGTGATGACTTCACGTTGAACAATCATTATTTTTCACATGATAATGTACAGAATACAGATTCGGACTGCGTAAAACCAGGAACTCCATTGAAATGGAAACAGTAAATGATTCGTTGAAGAATGCAGAACCAGATACAATTAATATTCATACAGAAACTTTCCAATTGCCAAAAAGTTACCTGGCGAATCGTCTGGAAAGAATTAGAAGTGCACCTGATAGATTCAAGTATTGGATATGTGTAATGCATATATTAATTACCTGTTAAAAATATCTCTTTCTACGTCTATAAAAAATTTTTCAAAACTAGTGCGTATTATACGGGTGCAATTACGACCAGTGGTTCATTGCCCCTTTTGAACAACTTCATATTTCTCCCCCAGAATATCTAGAGGCTTTCTATCTTACTGATGGCAATACCATAAATAATGTACTCAATTCACCGTAGGTTTGTTATGAACATTCCATTTGATAAGAGGTAAACCTGAAACATCTGGCATGAAATAAATCCAAAAACATCCTCTAAAGACTTCAACTTGGTTGGTGAAACGCGCATGTAGAACAGTATTGCATTTCTGGCGATTAGGAAAAGTGCTTGTTTCTGAACATTTTATTTCAAAAAAATCACTGTTAGTTGTACAAAAAAATTGTAAAAACTGCCAAAGAAAGGAAGAATGTAATTAACTTCAATAAACTCTTTACAAATATGTGTAAACCAAGCATCATTTACGAATTGGAAATTCGAAACAACTGCTTTCAAACAGTTTGTATCAACATTTCTACATGATCTCAACTTCTTTCTGAATAGCTTATTGAATTCACCTACTTTCTTTCTTACTTTTACATTTTTTCACATTCAAATTCGAAAGCCACAGATTTTGCAATCTCTCCTAAAAAATATTCCCTTCTTGCTTCAATCATTTATACATTCTGACTACTATCAAACAGGGTTGGTTAAAAAGGCTAAATAATGATTGTGAAATTTTTTATTGGTTATGGGGACATATAAAAAAATATGAATTGTACAAAGTAGGTCAGATGTTGGTCCAAACGGTTCCTGTTTTTGCTAATAACGCAAGATTGGCTAGGTTGCATCCAGGTGAATCCTTCCTGAAAAAAAATATTCAAGTGAGTTTAGACTGGCTCAAAGTGTCGAATACATGTTAACTATCATTGAAAGGGTTCCATTCGGAGTATAGTATATTCAAAAACACTTTATTGTGAGATTTTCACTAAACAGTTTTACAAAAACGCAACACGTGTTTCGCCATACATAGATAAAACGACAGGTAGTTGAATGAACCAGTGGGCCAACTTTAAAATTCAACACTGAAGATTATGGGGTTAAACCCGAAACCGGTCGTATAAATAAAATCAACTAGTTGTAATTAGACAAAAGTGTTTTTATTAATTTCACTAAAGTTATAGATTTTCAGCAGTATCGGTCAATTCCTGTCAGAACAATGACTGCACAGTTTCCAACGGTCGCTATAAAAGTGATCCTAAACATCACATAAATATTACTAGTAGAAAGTATGGTATCGTCAAAGAGGAAATCATCGAATGTAAGTTGCTACAGCTGATATACCATCGGATATATAATACCACTATATGAATGTAAGTTCCATTAAGCATAAAAGTAATTTTATATGCACATATTTTCAGAACAATTCTTCTTGAGAAGGAACAATTCTTCTGAGATATTATCGCTCAAAGGAATAATTTTTGAACATATGACACATCTGATTTTTTTTCCTTCATAAGCTCATTTTCGAATTTTACCTTTAGGAAAATACTTTGTGTTATCGAGTGGGCTTTTATTACTTTTCAATTTCTGAACAATCATTCACATTCTTTTCATTCAATTTCGATGGTGTACTCATCGACATACTTGGCATCAGTCATCGATATTTTTCGACATTTACTTGAATTTACTTAATGCTCTTTACATATCTCCATAGAAAGAAATCTAATGATGAAAGATCAGGTGATCGCGCTGGAAGGTTTCCTGGATCAGGAAACCCTCAAGGAAACATTCAAGTTACCTTCAATGAAAAAGGGACCATTGATATGGTTTCCTACAATCCCTGCCCAAACATTAACCTTTTGAGGGTATTGCGTGTGTTCTTCTCTCATCCAGTTAGGATTTTGCGTTGACCAGTAACGGCAATTTCGTCGAATAGCATAACCGATTAGAGACAAAGTACACTCATCCAACATGTCCATCATTTGCTCACAAAAATAAGTTCTTCTATCAAAATCGTTCTCCATGAGCTCCTGAGTAGGTATTATTTTATAAGGATGCATTTTATTTTTTTTTGATATGTTTACTATAGATGTATGGCTAACATTGTATGTAGTGGATGCTTGTCTACGCGAAGTATGTGGGTTTTTCTCAAACTCAAGCATCACATCTAATTTGAGTTCATCACTCATTGCATTGGCAGCTGCTTTTTTTATCTGCCCCACATGACCAAGCTCGTTAGACTGATTCTCTATTTTGCTTATTGTTCCTTGAGATATGGGCGATAAATCAGGAAATTTCTCATGAAATAGGCGAGCTACTTCCTATTGTGTTCGGGTTTTATCTCCGTAACCAATCATTTGTAAAACTTATTTTATGTATTTCCGTTTATCTAACCATTTGTCAGACTTGAAGTTAACGAACTTTGAACTTAAATTAAAATACTGACAAATGCTGTTGTAACATACAAAACAAGTTCACAAGTCGTTTTAAACTAATGTTGTCACGGAAATTATTTACATTTTTTTAAATGATACCATCTAAAAAGAACACTGCTATGGTTTGTGCTTACTTCCTTTATTATCATTTTTTATCATTTATTATCATTTAAACGATATATCACAAGCCTATACTTCCCATTTGAAAAGTTGGGGGTTGTACCTGTACCCCTATCATTCACCGGGGGTTGAAGGTAGGAGTAGCATGTTTCCGTTGGAATATGTCAAATTATAATTCAAATTTGACGTGTTTGGGGATTTTGTTGAAATATGTACCGTAACCGAAATAATGAATTTATTCCATTTGGCTTTTACACACTGTATATTTACATAACACATCTTTATCTTTCACCTCAATATTCGTGAGGTGTTCATATACATATATCCACCAACGATTTACTTGAAAAGATTAGCCTTTTGATCGCCAAACAAATCATACAAAGGCGTTGAAAAACTACCGGCTCCTATTTTTTGCTAGTGAAAATTCAATGATTCTTGACTTCATTCTGCATTATCTATTCCATCCCCTTTGTAATTTAAAATTTCTCATTTCCAATGGAAAAACTTGGATTTTCTCGAGCGTACTTCCTCTTTTCAGAATTCCAGTAGCAGACTTCTAAATTGATAACAGTGCGTTAACAGAAAATTTGATTTTTCACCTGTTCTACCAATAAATTCCTTCGATATGCATTGTATTTCTCTTGATTCTCCATGATATATTGGGAATAACTAAACTGTCTTGTCACCACAAGTTTCTTTTTTGAAAAGAAACATGCAGAACACTGCCATAAACAATTTTTCAAATTATTTGCAAAAAAATTTTTTTAAATATGTAGCACACGAACAATAGCTGATACTAATCATTGCAAGATTTTGCTATAAGGGTTTTTCAAAAACCGCAAGACTTGTTTCGTGCATCATATTTGATGACCCTTGAGGTGTGTCGAAATTTTAATTGCTTATACAAAATAATGACTGTCAGCTCAGCTTTATTATATTTTTTTCATTTTTGCTCTGTTTTAGCTCGTCTCATTATTTCGTTGGTTATTTTTCATTTCATTATCAGGCTCCAGTTTCTACAGATGGAAAAGGTGATGGAGTTGAAGATCATATTATTATTATCATTCAATTAATGTTAGGCGGCATAGCGGTTCAAAGATATAGAATTCAGAACAGAAAAAATGTACCAATCAAAACGTAATAAAAGAATAGTTTTTACAATTCCAGTATTTATCCAAAGCATTTTAAAGTATTAATTGATGAAGCACAAAATATATTCTCAGACAGGCCGTTCCAGTGAAAGAAAACACAATTGCATGGAAAATATTGGCGACACAGTTCCAGGAATCTTTCTCTCACTATTTTAAATGAATGTCCTCTCAGTCACTCATCATTACTCCACATGAAAAAGTCCAGATTCATTGAGTAATATCTGTGAAAGATTTTGAGTGATTCAATAAGATCACCTCGTAATCGAAGATCGTTTAGAGATAATTCAAGAGGTAATTCAAGTATTTGAAGGCGACGATTATATGGTAAGTCACGAATTTGTGGGGACAACTTGGTGATACGACTTTGGGTTTGCTCATGCGCATATATGTTTTTGACAAAGTAAGGATTCCAAATTGGCACATTTCAACTGTTACAATTCAAGAGAAACCAACTGTTGGAAACTGAAAGAAAACAATTCAAGAGAGACCAACTGTAATTGGAAGCTGAGGTGTATATGTCACATCAATTGAATGGATGCGATTTTTTGTGTTACACCAATTATTATTTCAAGCAGTGTATTGAAAAAATATTGACTTTTCATTTTTGGAGCTTTCATTTCAATCATCATATCATTCTATCGACCTTCTTTGGGTATTTTCACATTTCCATTTGAAGAACTGAACACGTAACTTTTCAAGGTACGTACTATTTTCAATAATACTTGCAATCTCCATTATAATTTTCATATTTTTCCCAGATTGTGAAAGATGAAAATACCCTAAGAAAGTCGAAAAGAACTCTGATGAATGATGGATGTATGTATATTTGTGGCTCTTTCACGCCTAAATGACTGAACGCATTTTGATGAAACTTTACATACGCATTGAGTACGTTGGAAAAGTTCTTGCCTCCTGAGAGCTATTTTGGTGTGCGCTGCCTGTTCCGTTGGAGTTACTTGCAGATAATTTATCGTGAGATTATTTATCCTAAATAGTTTAAAATGAAATTTCGCGATAACATAAATCTATCATAAATACAATTGAATTGGATACATTTTTTACAAATCATATTTTAGAATTTCTGTCAAATTCTTATAAAAATGTATACAGTTGTCGTTTTGAGTATTCAATTAAGATGAACTTTGCCTTTTACACTAAGTAATTCGAACGAATCGTTCGAAAAATTACCTTGACGCAACGCAGTAAGCCATTAAGTGTCGCATCCACCGTAAGGCGACGTGGGACGATACGGAGGGGAAGAGGGGTGGTCTGAGCATCGCCGAAAATGCCACTCGACGGTTTTAAGTTTTGCGAATTTATTTCTAAAAAACATAATTCGATTCTCGAAGCCATTCATTACTTAGTGCAGTTGGCATAATTTTCCAGTTACCGTATTTTTATAGTTAAAATATAAATTACTAGCTGTTGCCGCTCTTATATCAACGTACATTTAAAGCTACTGAAAAAATATTGTAACTATCTGTTCAAAATGGTCTGTCATGAAACTTAATGTGACAAACCAAATTCTACGCGGGCAATGTCGCGGGCAACAACTAGTATATGATATTTTTGTCTTATACAAGTGGGCATGTGCAGCCGTTGCCCACCATAAACTAATTTTCTCTCCTATGAAATTCTCGCTGAAAAAAAAAAATACTTTTTTGAAAACTCTATTCGAAAAACAGATACTAAAAATCAGTCTCTGGAGGTTCGAATTCTACCTATCAATTATTCAAGCATTCACAAATGCCATTGCAATGCGTTTCGAAGCGTTCACACTAATGTTAAATACTCACTCAACTCGATTTGCAGACTCTAAATTATCTTCGACAGCACACAATGTCACGACCTTGACGGCAGTATCCTTGTAATATTGGTTCGACATTGCGCGACCGAAGCCTATGATGTAATGTCTCGCGCCTACGAATACGGGACATTCTTTGTTGTCATCCAGCGTCGGGGCGGCTATCATGTTGAGCACCGCTCCACCTCTGCCCCCATTGTGGGTGCCCATGTATTCCAAACCTAGAAGTGTGCCGCGGATAATGCCTTTCTGTTGAGAAACATCAAACATTAGTGGAAGGTGAATCAGTAGAACTTGACTTAGTTATTGTATTTTTAGTTTTGAATAGGGGTTTATGATGACAAAATAGCTTCTATATCGACCGCTGACGAGATTCGTCCTGTCTTTCACTGCAGCATTTTGAATGGTTTCCGGGTTTTGCCGTGGTCTTCTTTGGTTATAATCTCCAAACGTTTCAACTGCAACTGTGGCAATCATCTTCAGTGGCGTGGTCGAATTACTTTTCTTGACGTGTCAGTTGACACGTCAAGAAGAATACTTCGACCACGCAACTAAAGATGACTGCCGCAGTGACAGTTGAAATGTTTGGAGAAAATAAAGAAGACCACGGCAAAACCCGGAAACTAACCAAAACATTAACGCCAGCCGTGAAAGCCTACATTTTTATATTTCACTTCAGCTTTCACGAGCAATGATTTACGGCACTCGCCTTCGACTTACATCGACAAATTCCATTCTTACGAATAATGGATATATTTATTGCTCATTGAGTAAGATACTATTGATTTCGATCTTTACGGGTCAGTTAATGAAATAGTTGACCTCTTTCACCCGAAAAGACATGCAAATACAGATTCGTATAATATTCTTGAAAATTTTAATCAGGCAAAGATCCGTTAGTCCTTTTTGTTTTTTCAAGGACAAAACACAAGCACTACAGAAAAATCCTTAAGGTACTCTTAGAGCGGTGCCTGTGCGAAAGTAGCGATTCACATTGGATTTGAATCGATGGAGATAAAATCACAGTTCGTCGTGCATTTCTGATATATACCGCTCTTAGTGGAATCAAGTCACTTTAACACTTTCCGTGAAAGTATCTATAGAAGAGAGACGAATCTCCAACCTTTCTTCGATGTTCTAGGTTGCCAATGATGTTTGTGTCTCCAATCAGGCAGATGGCTCTTTTCTGGATGGAATCCAGCAGCTTCAGGGTATGCTTAGGGGTAGAGCTCCACACATGAGAAAAATACTCCAAAGAGCTTTATATAGCATCAAAAGTTGCTGTGGTGTGTATAGTTTTATGGTTCGGAACAGTGTTCCAAGCTTTTGAAAAGCAGCCTTTGCAATTACAGCGACATGCCTGTGGCAAGACATGTCGGTGTCCATTTTAACCTCCAACAGACTTATCGAAGCAGAAAGCGAAATTGTCTGTCCTGCCATTATTATATCCGATTCGGAGACATTTATCTTTATGGAGAAAACCGATGCCTGGGATTTTGTGGCATTGAGTTGGATCTGGTTACTTTCACCACAATTCTAGATCACTTCTAGATCCTCATTAAGGTATTCAACTTCCTGCTGCCGGTGAAGATGTGCATGCGCAGCCGATTTCCTGGAATCCAAATGAAATGACAAGACAAGTATGCTGTCACTCATACAATAAAAAAACGACTGAACTGAAGTATGTTCAATTTCAGAGTAGATTTAGTGATTAAAGTGTGTCTCTATATGTCAGTCATCAAATTATTTCAAAAGTTCCCGAATTGCAAATTCTTTTTTTGCAGTTCTGAATTTGTACAATGAAGTTGAAGGCTGAATTATGGAGCAAATTCGAATTTTTTATTATCCATGTAATTTTTAGAAACACCTAAAATATATCAATTTTGTTTATCAATGCCGTTATTCCATTGTATATATTAAAGAGATGACATTAAATCTGAAAACATTTATCTCTTCCAATATACCAACACAGTAGGTTCCAGCAACTACCTGCCAGAAATCTACTTTCCTGGCTAATATCACACTGTACATTCATTAATTTCCAACAGACATTTATGCAAGTATCTCGAGGAGGTTAGTCTTGCAGAGGTTTCGTGTTCATTTAGCAGCAGGACCATGCTGAAATCAATCGTGTAGATCACCTATAGACCGGTTCCGAGGTATTACCTCTCGTCAATGCAGGTAAGATCTGACCCAAACAGCAAAGCGTCTGTGACTCGAATAATTTCAATGCGGCTCGACTACACGTATAAAACCATCGTTCAACAGAAATATTGTTAGATAGTAACAGCTCCATCTCGTGAACAAAGCCCCAAGCGTTACAGAAATATCTCATGTACCAATATTCTGATAGAATATTGGTACATTATTGATATTTGAGGAGAGATTTCATTTGAAAATATTTATTTTTTTATATGTACGTGTCTCTCCTTGATACAATCTTCATTATTTTAAAGAGATGATGTCATTGGCTTCGACGTGTAGACGTTATTAATTTTCTTTTCAGAAAATATACACCATTATCCTTCAATTGGAAGGTTTCTTAATGATGAGCAAGGTCATTGGAGCCCTGGCTTCTGTATTGAGCTATGATTTCACTCAAATTATTGATGAACCAGTAATAATTGCGGATCAAGATGACAAATTGGGAGATACATATCAAAAAACCAATATTGATCTTTACACCGTAAAATCTCAATTGTGATCATTTCATGACATACTCATTTCAGTTTTGAATTAATTACCCATGAGTTGAAGAAAATTTCAAACCACGTAAAGTTTGTCACTACAAATCTGCTAAATGGAAAGATCTTCAAGATAATTTGCGAACTTTCCTTGCTAGACGTTTGTCTCAACTCTGATAATTCATCGGCATGAGCTTCTGAGATGAGTGAGTTTATTGTATCAGGCTTCTTTTTTTAATGAAGCGACCCCCTGACTACAAACCATGGTTCACAGAAGATGCGAGCTGTAGCCTCTGAAATTCTCGCCTACCGACCATAACCCAGAAATCCGTCAAAATCAGGTTTGTTAACACTTGTAGAAATTGCTAATTAGGAATCAACGAATATAAAGAACAGCACAACCAGAGAATTGGAGACAAAGATCTTGGAATTTCCAACGGTTCTAATAGATCTCTTTGGACAGTGGCTAAATCTTTTGGTTTACATTCGAAATATATTTTCACTTCGATAGAAATACTGTATTAGCTTCTTCAATTCAATTTCTTATAATGAAGCATAGTATCATTCAATCTGAGAAATGTCTATTGTAATTTCAATTCAGTTACGATAAAATGAAAATTATTTAGTGGGTATAGGTTTATGTAAATTGCATTTCTCATTCTGACAGCTAGATATTTATAATCGATTCATCACCTTCTGTTCAAGAAAGGCATTAAATATTCGTTTTGAGGGCACCCGGCGATTTTGAAAAAATTTTTGAGTGTACTTACGTATTTTGATGCGTAGATTTCGAATCCGAAAGAAAAAAGCGACGCTCTCCCTTATTTACGAAGTTACGGCCCTTTGAAGTTCAGAAAAGGGCAACCTTTCAGCCTTCTTTTTCACGAGATAAACTATTTAAAAACGCAAGCAGTTATTCACATTTTTTTTTATGAAAAACTTAATTTAAAAACGAATGCTTCTTCTGGTGGCATTCTTCTGTTTCTAGGTTAGTTACTAGTGACATTTCAGAAAAAAACGATGGGTATTTGCCGCCGCCTACTATTTCAAATTCGTAATAAACCACCAAAAAGCAATTTACGATCTAAAGAATGAAGGCAAAAAGCATTTGAATTACTTTAGGAAATTGACAACATCATTCGTTCCAACTAGGCCATTAACCTTAAAAACGTAAAATACAGAGATATATAACTAAAACACAGCTACGTACATTTTTTAATATTTTTATTGAAAAAATGTTGGTTGTTGAAGTGAAAAGTGTCAAGGAAGGAGGAATAAGGTGTAAAGGTGACCTAGTGAATGAATGCTTGTGTTTTTAAATAGTTTATCTTGTGTGAATGAAGGCTGAAAAGTTGCCTATTTCTAAACTTTAAAGGGCCGTAACTTCGTAAAGGGAGAGCACCGCTTTTTTCTTTCGCATTCGTAATCTACGTATCAAAATACGTAAGTAGACTGAAAAAATTTTTCAAAATCGCCGGGTGCCCTCAAAACTAATATTTACCATATTTTCACTATTATGTTCGACGTGGCAGTTGCAATAACTTATGAAATTTTTGTACACTGTACAGAAAACTTTACACCCTCAGCAACTTTTGATGCTTTATCTAGCTCAGATCAGACCTTCTTTGAAGTATTGTTCTCATGTATAGAGCTCTGGCACCAAACATATCCTGAAGTTGCTGGATTCCATCCAGAAAAGAGCCATCCGCCTAATTGGCGACGCGAACATCACGTGCAACCTTGATAGCCTGGAACATTTAAGAAAGGTTGGAGATTTGTCTCTCTTCTATAGATGGTTTGACGGAAAGTATTCAAGTGACTTGGCACATTTGATCCCACCAAAAGCGGTACATATCAGAAATACGCGACGCGACGGACTGGGGCTGTTCATCGTTTTGAGGTTCAACTCAGTACACCTCGAACTTCACTGTTCAAGAACTCCTCAATCTGGAGAACTATGTTTATGTGGAATAAACTTCCTGAGAACCTTTTTAAAATGGATTTGATCTCCAGCTCTTTCGCACAGGCACCGCTTTAAGAGCGCCTTAAGGATTTTCCTGTAGTCCTCGTAATTTGTCCTTGAAAAAACCACTATCGTAAAAAATTTGATGTTTTTTTCCATCACTTTTACGAACAAACATTTCAAAACATGTCTGTTCGAAAAAATTATGTAGGGCATTTTTGTACCTGACAGAAAAAGTGTGCAAACAGTTGATTTTTCTTCTGTAACTTCATTAATACAGGAAAGGACGACAAAAATATGTTTCATCTGGCGAAGAAATGTTTGAGGACGGCTTCATCAATTCAGAGTAAATGTTGATGAATTGAGTGAAGCTTTCATGGTCAGAATGCATTATGTTTAAAATTTCCATACTAACTTTCTTCATTCATCTGCAAACATATGTATTCACATTATCTCGGAAAAAATTCAAGATTTAATCATGTTGATCAATGTTTCACCAAAAATTTCAACTATAAAAAAGTTCATGTATATATGACATCCTAAACTGAACATTTTCCAGATGAATATCATAAACAGCTAGTTTCATTCGGATCTNCTCTTTCTGTTCATCACTCAGAAAATGAATATCCCGATTCTTTTACAAATCAACTGGGATTGAAAAACTTTGTAGTACCTATAACTCGCAATGACTTGCCTCAAGAGTCCGAATTGAGGTACGAATTCACTACCTCCGGTGGATATTGGAATAAAAAGATATTACATGAATTGGGAAACATTCTTTGAGTGATCTTGTTGTGATAGGAATACTGAATAAAGTTTTCAACTTACCACGTTTTTTTCAACTTGCTCCACCCACGATTCTGTATGCACTTGCTTGGCAATATTGACGACAATATCGATATTTTTGAAGTGCTTTCTTGTCCAGTTGAACGCATCTGATGATATATGAAATAAACTACATTAAATGAATGAATATTATTGAAGAAACTACATTCATTGCGAAACTTGAAAACTAGCTTTTTTTTTCTCACACAGTATGAAATGATGTTCTACTATTAATATAATCTAATTATCATTCCTCATTTCATTTACTTCTTCATTAATTTCTAACAGGTTGATTATTTTATGCAGTTGCTATTGAATGAAAGTTGATTTCAGACAAATTTATGAGAATCTAAGGAAGATTTGGCTGAAAATATTTAGTTTTTTCAAAAATTTTTATTGGAAATCAGCCTTACAGTTATATCTCTTTATACATTGCGCCAATAGAGGGACGCATGTATTAAATAACTAAATCTGTTTCAAAATATGTTTTTCCGTTAATCAAAATGTTTTTGAAGATTCCCTTATTTTATTTTATTTTGGTTTACTGTTGTTTGACATAATTCAAATCACAGGTTGTCATGTCTTCGAATAATCAAGTGTATTTTTGAATGAAACACTCTTTTTTAATTTTCAATGTTATTTTACTTAGCTCGTGGGCGACAGTACAGAATCTTTTAATATACTTCACTCCAATTTTGACAAAATATTACATGGAAAATGAACGTGATAACAATTATTGAATGAAATGCAACTTCTGTATCCAATACAAAAAAAGGGCATTTAAATCGTCTCAGACATTTTCCAACGCAGCCGGTGTTATATTATGCATGTCTTGCCTGATTAGATCTTTCAGGTCACGTATATTACCGGTCTTTACGTTTTGAACAATATCATCTTATGGGCTCAGATCAGGTGAACTAGCGGGGCATTCTTCCTTTCCACCTATCTGGATCCTGTTGTAACCACATGCTGATTAATGCTATTTGAATATCAGAAAACCGCTAAATTCAAATCATAAATCAATGTATCCAGTGAGAAATTCAGACATAATTGTTCTGACTTTCTATTGAAAAAGTATGGATCAATAATAATTGTCTGATATTTTCGGGTTTATTAGCCGTGGTCTGCATTATCAAACGTCGAAGTGATTAAGCTTGCTGCGATGCGCAAACAGACGATATCGCAGTAAGGTAGATCACTTCGATCGCGTTGCCGCTTCGCATTCAATGATATCTGCCGCAGTAGCAGACGAAACGACAGGTATAAAATTCTGCAAACCACGGCTAATTAACCCAGAACATAGGACGATTTGTTTGATACCAACGGTGAGAGCCTGCGCACTATGGGTAATAATTGTATTATCCATGATACTGACCCACGCATTGACCTCTTGGCGAGCCTTTTGCGGTCGTTTGGTATAGTTGCCTTGCATCCTTTGTGAATTTTCATCAGACTAAAAAAAGTATTTCGTCGATTAACATACCTGTTCGAATAAAACGGTTCATCGTCTGAAAATAAAATATTGGCGATGAAATTCTTCTATTAATTTGGTCGATCGTATACTCGCAGAATTCAGTTCTTTTGTCAATTCTTCAGCCATTTCTTAGATGAGACGTACTTGGTATCATATTCTAACTATTAGATAAGTTGCAAATAATTTGCAGAAATACGCCACGGACTGTGGCTGTTCATCGTTTTGAGGTTCACCTCAGTATACCTCGAGCTCCACTGTTTGACAACTCTTTCGTCTGGAGAACTGCGTTTATGTGGAATAAACTTTCTGAGAACGTTTTTTTAAATGGATTTACTCTCCAGAGATTCAAATCCAATGTGAATCGCTACTTTCGCACAGGCACCGCTCTAAGAGCGTAGTGCTTGTGTTTTTTTTTCAAAAAAATATTCAAATCCATAGATAGTCCCCGCACTGTCGAGTGTGAACTTTCAATTACCCAAAAAATTACGTCGTATTGGATGCTGTCGCTCTCTGTCGATCTTGATTTTTTCATTCAATAGGCTGAAAAGTCCTGGGCCTAAGAAAGAAAGCATTTTTTTTTGAAAATTGACGTTATTCATCAACGTAATCTCCATCAAGAGCCACACAATCTTTCCAGCGCAGCTCTAACATGTCAATACCACTTTTGTAGAACGATTTATCTTTCGCCCCAAAATAGGCCTCAGTTTAAGCAATAACCTCATTCGAGCGACATTTCTTACCGATGAGCATTTTTTTGAGGTGTACGAATAGCCATTAGTTGCTGGGAGCCAAAACTGGCGAATACGCTGTTCCAACGAGGAACAAACAAAATGGCAAAAGATCGCAACGGTTAAAGTGCTGGAATATATTTTTGAAAAAATTTCATCGAGCAATCATTTTCTTGTTTATTTGCAATCATCAAATTTCGAAATTATTGGAATTTTTCATGATGTCAATAAAATGAGGAACGATTCAATATAATGAATAGTAAACATTTCAATTAATTTGCGAGGAATAGAATTTGAAAAAATTGTAGTTTGAGTTTTTTTCTCATTTGGACGTGCGGATTCCTAGTATTCACGGTCAATAATATGAAAAATCATAAATACAAATGTGATCAATACAAAATTGAAATAAATATTATACCAAAATATTTTTAGATTCATTCTGGTTCAACTAGAACTAATTAGGTTATTTCTGAAATGATTATGTTTATTATAGAAAGGCAAACACGTTATGACTCGCTCAGTGTAAATTAATGAATAATCTCACTCCTCAACAATTTGGTATCTGCGATATCAGTTTTGATAAAGGCAGCTCTATTTTCTCCGAATTCCTTACTCAGCTTACAGATGACTTCTTTCCCTCCATTCTCATCAATATCTGCAATCATGATGGCCTTATTTTATGGTCAGTAGAATCAATAAAGAAATAATCCTTACCTTGGTTCCACATTTCAACAATTCCTTCACACAAAGCAGACCAAAGTCGTCGGTACCTCCTGTCACGAGGGCGATCTTATGACCCATTTTCGATTCAGGAAAAACGGGCAAAAATATTTCTCCTCTTCCCATATCCCTTTTCTGAACTCCTGATGTTCCGTCTTTTCTGTAAGTAGTTCAGAAGTATTGATACTTTTATGTCTCATCACCGTCTCCAATGTTATGTCTATATGTAGGTTTTTTAATAAATGACTGGTGAACATTTCCAAATATGTTACCTTTATTTATTAGTTCAAAATACAACTGAAAACTACCTACTTCAATTATACAATTGTTATCGCATCAATTTCCCTTGTTTGTCGTCCATCTGATCTTCGAAAAGGTTCGTTATTGACTCCACATTCGAATGCCCCGGTATATTCGCGATAGCATTCTGGCAAGAGATTCAACTTAAGTTTCAGAGACTCAAACAGGTTCTGAAGTGACGTCGTGATAGGTTTTTGATCACCATGCTCAGACTCGTAACATTGTCCCCTGTTCAAATTATTGCGACATGGAAACTGGAGCTAGTCTATCTAGATGTATGATCAAAGTTTTTTCTAGCTGGATGCAACAGGCATCTGTTGATCACTCAGTACTCGGCATTTTTTTAGATATGATATATCATGTGAAGAATCATTCAAGGCCAATACTTTCATTATTCATTTTAACATACATACATAAACGAATCGCTATAGGAAATCACTGATCACTCTACAGGAAATGACATAAAGCTAGTAATTCGTAAAACTAATCAAAGTGGAAAATCTTCATTCATAATACTGTTGAAATACATCTGTTCTAATAACTCATGGTTTTATCATGGTGGTTGCCTTCGTGTTGAAAAAAATCTGTTGAAATCTGTCTTTTTGGCATTGTTGAATAACAAAGTTTTCGTTGAAACTGAACCTCTATCGATCAATTTTGAGGTCTTGTGGTATTGCTTTCAATAATTTTCGGTGCAACAACGAAAATTTAGAACATATGAAGAAGAATATTATAACAAATGTATTAAAACAGTATCGAAAAATATAAAAGAGCAAATAAAAATATAAAAAAATAGAGCAAAATAAAAAATTGATGAAAGAATGCCAAAACTGAGAAGGTAGGAAAAATTTTTCACACCAAGTTGTTTCTCGACGTTTCGATTATTAGTATCCACAATTGTCATAGGATAATAACTAGTTTTCTATCGGAAACTAATTCCATTACAGTTGTACGTTTGTTAGTTACTGTAATGAAACAACAACAATAAAAATTATTTGGCGCTCCGGGGCCAATATATATACCACAAGAATATTCTGTATCTATATTTATTCAACAATAAGGTTGTGAGTAAAAAGAAAGTCATCAATAATCAGATATAACGGAAACTTAACGATTGTCTATGAAGAACTAGTTTGAACACTCACCATAAATTATGGTAGTTAAGGATTTCATACATTGATGAATTCTGTGTGACTACTATTTCTCATGAACAAACTATGTCAACAACTCTTTCTGTTCATCACTCAGAAATTGAAAATTTAAGAACATTCTGTGTTCAAAAAAACTGAAAAACTCTCCTCTAAATTTGGTTTTATGTAGTGTTCCAGAGTTTTTTGAGACGGTGGTAGTGTTCCATCACTTGACTGACCAAATCAGTCAATTTTTCATGTTATTTTGGTGTCATCTGTTTTTTTTGTTTTGTGATGTATAAATTAGTTTTATATCCATCGTTATGATTCTAGTCTTGACCCAATATCAAGTGGTTTATGATATACATATAAAAGCATATGTACATTTACGCTTTGTCGGTAAAATTATCATTTCTTCATATTGAATTAAAATTTGAATTTCAATTTTATTTCCTGTTATCTGTGGTAATCCCTATGCATTTTCTCTTGAGTTCATGTACTTTCTCCTCGTCTCCCCGATGAACCCTTTGTTAGCCATTTTTGGAGGTGTAAAGGTCCCACCGTTTAAACCATTTTCCACTTCACGGCGATAGTTAGAATACTAACTTTGTTGCCCTCATAATGTTGATTCCGGAGAAATTTTTTAGTTCACCTGTTATAGCGTTCTTTCTATATATTTCTAACGTATACTTGTTAGACATTAGGCTCTCCTACTTACCATATAATGGTCAATAGAGAGAAAAGGGAAGACTCACTGAGCCTGGAAAAACTTGCTTAATGTGTCATACCTGGAGACTCAGATTCATCCCAGTTGCTGAGACGAACTTCTTTCAACTTTCAATTTTTCTTCTGTCTTGTTCTTGACTCTTCCATGATATATGGATCTAGTCCAGTCTTTTGTTAGTGGTACCGGATTTCATCTCTAACCTTGAATACAAATTTCATTTCCAAAACCTACTTTCATCTTCATCAATCTTACAAAGCACACTTCTTGCTGATCGTTTGTCATTTATGAGTTTCTTCTTCTTTTCGGGGGTCGTCTTTCTTTGAATCGATGTAATATCCAGTAATATCAATTCTTACAAAACTTCTAGGTATTACACTAATAATAGTATCACCCCAATATCTCATATTGGTTGAAGAAAGGCATCCTCGTCAACGAAAGAAAAGGGGGAATATTTCCTGTCATACTGGAACATCGTGAAAATTCTTGTCAGTGAACGTTTGCCTATAAAACTACTCAAGAATTTGAGCTCTATTCATAACCAAAAAATGATATCAATTTCCATCCCAGTAGGAAAAACAGTTTTTGAGATGCAACACCTCAACTGAAATCCTCATTAATATTATAATTTGTGAATACATTTCATAAAGATTGGATGGTTTGATACCCCGACCTAATCACACTGAAAAGTTCAGACTTTGCCCTTTGCCATTATTTTCTCATAAAGTAAATCCTGTATCTCAGGAATTCATACTGGAGTTGATACTGAGAAAAAGTACACTTATAGAGTTGTAGCAGCTATGAAGCGCCATGCATTTTTTTATCGTAATGTGGAGGAGAAAGCGACTTTATAGTATTTTCTTAATCGAAAATTAACGAAATAGGGCTCAGATAATACAGGTAACAACCTATCTCAAAAAATAAACTTTGTTAACTATATTTAGACCAGACAACGGCCATTACTGCTTTTACTTATAGGTGTACAACTAAAAGGCTCTAAAGTTGATAAAGTATTAGCATCTAGACCACTTGACAATATTCAATGAAATGAAACTCACAAAGTTCTATAGTTATCGATTTTCTTGTCCCGACCTGATGATTTGACTCTGAATCTGAAAAAAATAATCTTCTATCAGAAAATAAATGGATTTATTTTCGGTTAACAATGTCGTTAATAGTAGGCTTCAATTTCTCATCGACCATAACACAAAAGGAATATGAAAAAAGTATGATATTTTACTGGATAAACTTGTCATTATGCATTCAGTTAGATAATCTTTGTAAATTTTTCTCCTGAAAATTGGGAAATTGACAGATTGAATTTCTACTTGAAATATTTTTTTTGTTTAGAATCATTGTAACTGTCCCTACAAGCAGTCCTTAGAAAAAGTTGTTCCCTATGTCCTAGAAATACAATTTTTTAAATGTCTAAAAAAGTACTCACTGCGTTATGAATCTTGATTTGAATTTTTGTAATACACATAATTTTGAAAGGATCCACATTTTAAATTACCTCACTTGAGGCCACATTTTTATTGACTCTTTCATAGTGTCTTTGTCATAACTGACATATTGAAAATATTAATTTTGTGTCAATGAAATATACAGAATTGATTTTATCGATAGATTACCTGTCTCTCTCTAGCAATCATGGTTTTTGGGGTTGCAGATGTAGCACTGAATTTACTTTCAAATTAACGTTTAATTAGGCATATTGTATCGTATTATATAATATATGAATAGTGTGAATACTTTAACCAGTTACTTCATGAAAATCAATAACATTGCTCGTGATAACAATTGAACACGGTTGACACCAGTTCAACTGGAAAATATACTGTGTGGTGAAATGCGTTTTGAGTCAAGTACATAGTGTGGAAATTATTCATGAATAGTTATATAAAAATGGTTTGAACATTCGAGTAGATTTTGAAAGTCATTAAATCATTGATAAAAATAAAATATAGTTTAGGTCCATGGCAAATATAGTCAGATTGAAAATATCGAATCTTGAACGATTCACAAAACTTTTTGTCTGATAATGCAAAAATTCAGTTAATTCCCATTTTCATCACCTTCTGTTCAAGAAAGGCATTAAATATTTGTTTTGAGGGCACCCGGCGATTTTGAAAAAATTTTCGAGTGTACTTACGTATTTTGATGCGTAGATTTCGAATCCGAAAGAAAAAAGCGACGCTTTCCCTTATTTACGAAGTTACGGCCCTTTGAATTTCAGAAAAGGGCAACCTTTCAGCCTTCTGTTTCACAAGATAAACTATTTAAAAACGCAAGCATTTATTCACTAGGTCACCTTTACACCTTATTCCTCCTTTCTTGACACTTTTCACTTCAACAATCAAAATCAAAATCGCCGGGTGTCCTCAAAACTTATATTTACCATATTTTCACTATTATGTTCGACGTGGCAGTTGCAATAACTTATGGAATTTTTGTACACTGTACAGAAAACTTTACACCCTCAGCAACTTGATGCTTTATCTAGCTCAGATCAAATCTTCTTTGAAGAATTGTTCTCTCATGTATGGAGCTCTGCCACCAAACATCCTGAAGTTGCTGTATTCCATCCAGAAAAGAGCCATCCGCCTGATTGGCGACGCGAACATCACGTGCAACCTTGATAGCCTGGAACATCTAAGAAAGGTTGAGATTTGTCTCTCTTTTCTATAGATGGTTCAATGGGAAGTATTCAAGTGACTTGGCACATTTGATCCCACCAAGAGCGGTACATATCAGAAATACGCGACGCGACGGACTGGGGCTGTTCATCGTTTTGAGGTTCAACTCAGTACACCTCGAACTTCCCTGTTCAAGAACTCCTCAATCTGGAGAACTACGTTTATGTGGAATAAATTTCCTGAGAACCTTTTTCAAAATGGATTTGATATCCAGCTCTTTTCTGTAGTCCTTGTAGTTTGTCCTTGAAACCACTATCGTGAAAAATTTGGTGTTTTTTTCCAGCACTTTTACGGACAAAATTTTCAAAACATGTCTCTGCGAAAAAATTATGTAGGGCATTTTTGTACCTGACAGAAAAAGTGTGCAAACAGTTGATTTTTCTTCTGTAACTTCATTAGTACAGGAAATGACGACAAAAATATGTTTTATCTGGCAAAGAAATGGTTGAGGACGGCTTCATCAATTCAGAGAAAATGATGATGAATTGAGTGAGGCTTTCATGGTCAGAATGCATTATGTTTAAAATTTCCATACTAACTTTCTTCATTCATCTGCAAACATATGTATTCACATTATCTCGGAAAAAATTCAAGATTTACTCATGTTGATCAATGTTTCACCAAAAATTTCAACCATAAAGAAGTTCATGTATATATGACATCCTAAACTGAACATTTTCCAGATGAATATCATAAACAGCTAGTTTCATTCGGATCTAAGACAATTGGTATTTTTTTACATTCTTAAAATGATTTCTTCAATATGGCCCTAACAATGTTTTGGATAACCAATTCGTTTCATAATATAGGAATGTTGGTTTTCACGGCTGGCGTCTCGAAACGTTTCAACTGCAACTGCGGCAGTCATCTTCAAGAAGAGTACTTCGACCAGGCCACTGCAGATGACTGCCACAGTTGCAGTTTCTTCTTAATCATGCATCATCCTACATCAAGTTATCATCTCTCCTCAATATGAGTATTTTGATTCCGGATTCCCAAAAACTTTCTTTCCCAAAAATTAATCACTCCTAAAAATATAACCCTTTCAAATCAATGTTATCAAGTTATGATATTAAATGAAGGATTCTTGTCATATAATTTAATTTTATTTCCACACAGACCATACACAATTATTCGAATATCACTCGACAAACACTGTAACCGGTATTTTTCACTTCTCTGTGGTTCATTTCTTGCTAGTACAGTCATTCTTGGGTTTGCTGCTTTTCGAATCCTTTTTCTCTGCAGCGGCCAATTTATCACATTCCGCTTTTTTCTTAGCTGCTTCTTGTTTTTCACATTCTGCCTTTTTCTCGGCAGCGGCTAATTTTTCACACTCTTCATTTTTGAGGGCTTCTGCTTTCTTTTCTGTTTCCGACATACATTTTTTCTCTTGCCCCTTCTTCTTAGCTTCAGCTCTTTTTTGACATTCTTCTTTTTTCTTGGCTAAAGCCATTTTCTCACATTCCGCCTTTCTTTCGGCTGCAGCCATTTTCTCACACTCTGCCTCTTTTTCAGCTTCAGCTTTTTTTTCAGCTTCCGTCATGCATGGTTTTTTATCTCCTTTTTTCTTGGCCTCAGCTATTTTTGCACATTCTGCTTTTTTCTTAGCCAGTTCCATTTTTTCACACTCCGCTTTCCTCTGTTCGGCAGCCAATTTCTCACATTCTGCTTTTTTCTTGGAGTCTGCCGATTTTTCGCATGGATCCTTCTTGTCATCCTTTTTGTCGCCCGAAGCACCTTTTTTAGAAGCTTCCGCTTTTTTAAATGCAGCAGCCATTTTGTCACATTCGGCTTTTTTTCTAGCGGCGGCTTTTTGTTCTGCGGCTACTTTATCACAAATAGCTTTTTTCGCCTCCTCAGCCTTTTTCACAGCTTCCGCTTTCCACTTGGCTTCTGCCATTTTTTTCTTGCAATCTTCCCCCTTTTTATCTCCCTCGGATGACGAGCTTCCTTTCAAGCAGGGCGGCTTAAATGTACTGCGATCTGGAATCTTGACTTTATAAAATTCGTTAGCCTCTGAAACCCAAATACTGCCGTTTTCGCCATCTTGAATCATGGTTATTATGCCTTTCCCAACTTCTACGGGTCTGAAAAAAAAAGAATTAACATAATCAAACTTACTTCGTTTTCGCCATCTTGAATCATGGTTATTATGCCTTTCCCAACTTCTACGGGTCTGAAAAAAAAAATTAAAACACATTTTGAATTTTTTTTATATTTCAATAGGTAGTAGTATTTCGCACTGGTTGCCTTGCAGTAAAAGCTGCATTGGCAGGTATACAGAGAACGAATCTATTGGATTGAGGATTGAGGATTGAGCATCGAGGATTGAGTTCTCTGTCGATCCCGTATATGGCGTCTTCTTAGGGGAAGATGTCATCAATATTTCAATTAGAGGAAGAAAATAAAAATTTGTTCCAATCCAATATGATTTTTTTTTCTGTTGATTCATTTTCAATTTCTCTGAAAGGTCATTATATATTTCAACTCCTAAATGGAATTGTGATTTCTCCCCAAATTTTGAGCCATATGATTTAACTAGTTGTTTTATTTGGTCTGTGTACTTTTCTTACATTTATTGCCTGAATAAAGGTGTATTATCATTACTATATACTGACTATCACAAAAATGTAAACAACTATACATGTTTCGCCAATATCAATGACTTTTGGCAAATGTAGTGTGTCTTTTAGTGTATTGTCAGACTTTGAGCTTCATTTGATAACTAAATGAAAAAACTGGTTCAACAGTGTGTTCCATATTATTGGAGTTATTCAGTTAAACTTTCTCATGTTATTTTCTATGTTGTTATTTTTTCCTAAGTATGAACATTGTATGTTTCTTGATAAAAAAAATATCGCTACAAATCTTAATTTTTTTCATAAAGCCAATTTTTGAGAAATTATTTGCTGAATTCTATAAATCAAAAATGAGAAAGAATATTTTCTCAGCTTGCAAGCGTAGTCTTTGTGTTAACATTTTTGGATTAAGAAGTCATATGAAGTAAAATGTATGGTCGTAGTATTCACATAAATGACAGTTGATGATAAATTGATAAATTCAAAGAATTTGAACCGTTACGAATTGAAACCACCATCCGGTTTATTTATACTTGAGAAATCACATGATAGCTCTTTAACATCTACGTAGTAGCTTGTTTCATAACGGATTTCACAGTTTTACTCCACAAGAATACTCACTCTTGTGATGGTAATGCAGCAAGCCCTTTAGCTAACTCGTTTCCTAGGCCTTCAAATCCAGGCAGTCCTCCTTCTGCTGCTTCCCAAATCATATTAGTGTCAGTAACTCCCGGACAGAATGCCATGACTTTCACTTTCGATGTGTTGTAGAAATAATCATGCCCCATTGACCTAGTGAATCCTATGATGAAGTGCTTAGTACCAGTGTATACTGGAGACCCGTACATAGGTTGCAACCCCAATATTGAGGCGTTATTGAAAATGAACCCGCCGTTTCCACAATTTTGGACGCCCATATATTGGAAACCCAATAGGGTGCCACGTACCAAACCATGCTGAAATAAAATATATTCATTCATGTACACGATCTCAAATTTGACCTGAAATCAGTGAAGATATTTTTATAAATTTCATTATCAAAACAAGATATTTTTCGGAAAAATTAATTATCCAATAGTCGTCTGTTCATAGTTGAGACTTGACAGGTGGTTGAAATCGCCTATCCATCTTGATTGGCAATACTTTTGTTCTAGTATAGGAATTTCAATAGATATCTACCGGTTTAGTTTCCAACACCACATACCATTTTTCTTTTTTAATCTTCTTCATCATGCATCATCCTACATCAAGTTATGATCTCTCCTCAATATGAGTATTTTGATTCCGGATTCCTATGTGATCAATAATGTCGAAACTCATTCATTACAAACAGGAAAAATAGTTATAGTGAAAGAGCGAGAGGTCATGGGTTCGAATCCGGAATGGAAAAAATATTTTGCTTTTGGTTCAAGAAACTACAATTCTTAAATATTAAATTTGCTTCTACATGTAATCCAGTACGTATTTCCAGTTTCTGGAAATGCAGATATTTTGATGGCATTTGTTGGATATTGTTTCATTGTGAGTTTTTCTGTTAACTAGCTGTCATCTTTTCATTCTGGAGCCCTATTGTGGGAAAAACAACTGTTTCGTTTTCCAATTTTTGATATTGTATTTGAAAGGTAATGTGAACAATTTACGGGAAAAGAAGAAAAATTGAAAAAATTGATATTACATGAACTTGAATATTGGAAAATTGTCCATAAATTCAACTAAGATGAATCCAAACTACATTAATTCACAGTAGATGCTCGAAGGGTTCTTCATTTACTGCCATACATAAGTATAAGTTCGTCTCAAAACGTTGTTTGACGTTTTGGAGCATGTCTGGGGTTATTTGAACATTTGGTTATGATATGTTGACGTAACTCTTCTAACGAACCTGGCTGAGTGGCGTATATTTTACTTTTCAAATGGCTCCACAAAAAGTAATCTAGGAGAATGAATCGGGAGACCGGGGGGCCATTCAATGCATCCTCTTCTTCCAATCCAGTGTCTAGAAAATCTTTCATTCAGGTACTGACGAACCGCTATCGCTACAGCAAAATGTGAAGGAGCTCCGTCCTGTTGGAATATCAGGTAATCCTCAAGGTATCGGTTATCGTTTTTTACTCTGTTTGTTAACGTTGGATCAACGGTATCTTCGAGTAATTCCAAATACATGTCCCCAGTAAGATTAACTGGTAGTAAAAATAGACCAATGATACGATCGCCAAATATTCCAGCCCAAACGTTTAACTGTTTTGGGTATTGCGTATGTACTTGGTGAAATACTCTCGGATTACATTCTGAGTAGTACCGACAATTATGACGATTTTGGCAATATTGAGATAAAAACTGCATTGAAAACGAAATTTGGATCTTGTAAGCACGTTCACTCATGATTTCACAAACTTGTATGCGACGATCAAAGTCGTCTATGTTAAGTTCCTGAACCAGTTTAATTTTATATGGATGGAATCTGTGAGCTTTCAAAATTTGCCCAACGGGACGTCGACTTATTCCAGATAATTCGGCAAGCTTTCGTGTACCAAGAGTTGGATCCGCAGTAACCTGTCCTAAAAAGGCTACTTCCAGCGCTTCATTTTTTACTGGTTTTCAGTTTGACATTTTTTATTTGTTTGGGTGTTGCTGATTGAAAATTCTACTGGCTGTGTTGGCACATTCATCATTTTTGAAATACTATTCAATTATTTCTACCCTATCCTGAATAGAATAAACCATTTTTATGTTTTACTCGTTGATGAACCTGAAGTACTACTGAAAAGAAACTGACACACATAAGCACTGAAACGAAAGGTTTTTTATTATACCGATACATAGGCGTAGTAAGTCTAATTTTATTCCAAAAGTTCGAATGTCGTCAAATAACTCCAGAAATGTTCAAAAACGTCAGACGGCGTTTCGAGAATAACTTATACTCTTTAATGGTAGTTCATGGCGAACACTTTGAGCATCTACTGTGAATTAATGTAGTTTGAGGATTATTGGATTTGAATTTATGCAAGGTTTTCAACTTTTTTTTTCAGAAGCTTTTATTCAACTTGCGCCGGATAGTTAGTATGTATGTATGTGTGGGACAAATCCTGCAGCTGACTTTTGACCCACTTCTAGTTGTCATCTTGAACCGAGACTTGGACTTTGGTTGGTGTTCATCATTGCGAGGACAATGCATTATGGAAATTTTGTTGGAGAAATGGCAGGTCCAGGATAGCGAATGAGATTTGTAATTATGTTCCGATTCAATTCAGAATTGGATCGTGGGGATAAAATTGAATAAACTGTTTGTAAATGCGATTAGAATAAAAAGACAAAATTGCTACGTGTACAAAATAGGTATTCTTGTGCGGTAACATTTTGATTCTGTTACGCACAGATTAACCTAGCTCACACATGGAAAAAAAAATAATTTTCTTTCAATTGCATTTGTATAACAGTTTTTCTTACCAATTCAATTAATTATTTTTAGTCATACTGGAAACTTATAAAAACCCCAAATGCCAATTTTGAATCGAATCGAACCACAATCAGGGGAGAGGTGGGCATAGTAGCCACCCTAAGGAACATCTATTTTTTTCCACCCCTAAACTTTTTTGAAACATTTTATAAATCTCTTCAATATTTAGTATGGTTACTCAGTCCTGATCCAAAAATAAAAAAAACTAGATTTTTGAATTTATTTGTACAAAATTTTGACTTTACCAAAAGTTGTCAAAGTGACCACTTTAGGCCACTAGGTAGGGCAAAGTGGCCACTGCCTAAATGGATTTAGGTAGTATGGAAAAAATAAGACACATTTAGTTTCTGAACTCAAAACGATTGCATTAGGGTTTTAAACAAAAATAGGCATTACTGAAAATATGTGAAACTATGAAATCACTGGTATTTACATAGATCACAAGAACATCTAATCCAGCCTACGTTGTCCTTGGATTTCGAGTAACAATCACCACAGAATAAACAATCGACGTCGCTGACGTTACCTTCATTATCGTCATCATTATAGAAATTGTCATTCTTTTTCTTGAACAATGCGCGTTTTCCTTTATTTTCAATTTTATCCACCTTTTCGTTAGAGCCTGCTGTTTCTTTTCGATTTCCCTTTCTCTTTTTGCTTCTAGTCTACGTTGTTTCGCATTCTCTTTATCTTATTTTCCTTTCTTAATTGCCATGAGAGAGGCCTTATATGGACTGGATGTTAGAACTGTTGCTGTTCCTTTCTTCTGCTTAGTTTCTCTTTTGAAAATCTGATTGACCTTGGGTACAGGAACAATTTCACGTGGACTTACAGCAAATAAAGTGGACTTCTTGTTTGGTGGACTGTTCAAATCTGAAGTTGTTTCTAGGGCACCAGCTGATGAAGTGCTGGGAATAGACGGATCAAATATGGCAGAAGGAAGCCTGATTGGATGATCAACATAAGGTAGGGATACCATTATGAAGGCGGTATTGGAGTTTTCAGCTACTGTTGGAGTTGAGCTACTGTTGTTGACAATCTGAGACGAAGATGCACAAATCTGTATGATGGTGTTCTCTTCTTCTGGCGCAGTGTCTTCTTGTAGAGTTATTTCTGTTGTTTCAGAAGCTGCATAATCCAGTTCTGTAAACACATTTTTGTCGATTGGGACGATTCCACATTTTCTAAAGCCTTTTATGGCAATAACTGGTGTAGATGCCTCCAAAAACGCTTCACCAAGTAGCCGGGAAACCTGGAATTGAGTCACTGTCCGTCCTGGATTATTTCTAAAGAACTTTGCAATGCTTTGTACAGAATACGTATTGAAAGGTGCCATAAACGCAACGTCGAGTGGCTGGAAATTGAACAAAACAGTGACATGATTGTCTCTGGCTTTTTCGATGAAGTCTAAGTTGTTCATGTGAGTTGCATGAACGTCTAGTACTAGAAGAATCGGGTCGTCTTTTGTTGGCTTTGAAAATTTTAAGAAGTGGTTAAACCATGAGTTGAATATTTCCATTTGCATCCAACCAGTAGGATGACATTCAAAAGCTGATCCAGGAGGTGCACCATCTTGCAGTTCAAATTTCATTCTACGCCTTGGTGAAATCACAAAGGGTGGTATAAATGTCCCTCCAGCCGAAACACAAACTACAAATGTTGAAAGAACGCCTCGTTCGGCATATGTTAAAGAGCCGACTAATCGCTGACCTTGGCAAAGACCTTGGACGACTTGGACTGGACTGTTAAGAGTCCAGTCTCATCAACATTGTACATCCTATGAAGTGGGAATATGTGATCTTTCTGAATGTCAAAATGTAAAAAAACTTTGATACATTAGTTTTGTTAAACGCTCGAGCCCGTGCAGCTGAAGTCACCTCAGGCTTCCGTAATGCAATCATAGGGTGGCGTTTTCTAAATCCCTGTACCCAATATTTCCCAGCAGCTTTTTTTTCATGACTAACGTTAACAGCGAGTTTGTAGGCAAGAGCCTATAGATCAGCGACTGTTACACCAAAAAAACGGACTTCCATGTCCAAAAGATAGTTCCTGCTCCTCAGTAAATATGGGCCGTAAGTGAACAAGAACCTTTTTTGTGTTTACTGCATGAACATTTCTGTCGAGTGCACGCCGTTTTAAAGTATTTCGAGGTACCTGGAACCTTTTGGCTGCGGTTTGCCAAGGCAACCCGTCCTTCTTCAGTGCATCAATGGCCTTTTACATAGCTTCAGAGTTCCAGGACTGCTGAACGGTTTTCCGTTTATACTTGGACACCATACTGTTCTTCCTCTGCAAGAAAACCACGGAATTAGAATAACTGAAGTTTGCCGTAATCTTGCTCTTGATATTATAGGCCTACTTAGTTTTGTTTGTGATGAATGCAGTTTAAAAATTCAAGTTTTATGCAACATACAATGCGGGCAAAGTGGTAAAGTGAATTCAAAGCTAGAAATATGTTGTTTTGCACGTTTGATGTACAATTTACTTCACGTAGGCCTACAATAAACTAAAGCGATACATGTGATGCACTTACCTAACATCAGAGGGTCGAAAAAGTGGAAAATTTGCGGTATCTTGGTAAGCTTGCGTCTGAGCGGCACCATACTACAACACAAATAACAACGGCTGCCGGGCGAGTAGTTGAGACTATTACCGCGAGGCTGCAGCACTATACAGGGAAGAAAACTTCAAGTGGCAACTTTGCCCGCAGTGGCCACTATACCCACCCTTCCCCTACACATATCGTCCGTCATCTTGTTTTTTGCATCGACAAAACAATCATAATTTCCTACCTTGAAAATCTCCACATACTAATTTTGATTCGAATCGGACCATAATTACAAATTTTGTCCGCCATTTTGGAGCCACATTATTTTTTGCATTGACAAACAAATCATAATTTCCGACCCTGAAAACCACCACTTATCAATTTTGAATCAAATCGGACCATAATTGCGAATCTTGTCTGCCATTGTCCGATAGGTCGGTAGCCGGGCGGTTCGACGTGGGTGCTTTGTTCACTCACTCAAATCGACCGTGTTAGTAGCTGGTTCAAGCCCCAGGCCGAACGATCGATTTTCACTTGCTATCGTCCAACCCGTGTTAGGAATCACAGGTTGAAAGGTAACACCTCGTTAGTTTCGAGGTTTCGACTTCTGAGGGTTATCGTTCGTAGGGGTGCGACAGTTGGTTAACGGAAAAACAGACAGATTGTGGAGCCGCCATTTTGTTTTTTACCTTAGAAAAATTCCATAATGTATTGTCACCGAATTTATGTCAAATTAGCTTGCAAATGAAGTATCATAATTTGGAATACGGAACAGTTTTTTCCCGAAAGGGGGAAAAAATTGACATGGTCGAATTCCTTATCTGTTTAAAAAAAATGATGGACAATATCGAATTTTTCACTTAAATCAAATGAATTCCGTCATAGATATTTTTAATATGACTGAAGTTGAATAGCATACCTATACCTATCTACTAATAAAACTGACATTGGGCAATAGTTACTCATTTTATCTATTTTGTAAATATTCAATTTCATAAGTATTCAAAAGTGTCTAGAAGAATGCAGTCTGCCGGTTAATCTCCAATACTCGTAAGCAAGTATTCAATTTTCAGAAACTTGAGGATTATTTTGGTCGATTTTTTTGTTTGTTTCTGATCCAAAGTTTGAACATTGAATCAGTTCAGAGGCATGATGCAGAACAAAAATTCTGAATATATTTTTATATTTCATACCAAAATTTTGGAATTGTTAAATTCGACCTGTTAGAAAATTGTTCTTGATTGAATCACAAAATAATTGTTTCAACATTATTATAAAGAGTACTATCCTTAGTTAATTTCCTATTCTTCTATAAAAGTTCACTGAACTCAAAAATGACTCCTGTCAATAAACTACTCACTAGATTAATGAGTAACGTCTGTTCCCATCTTGAGTCAGCCAAAATTCCAGCGTTATTTACCACTATATCAATTTTTCCGAATCTTTCCTTCGTGCACTTGAACATTTCTGAAAAGGAATTGATGAGTATATTTACTGAAGAAGAATTTTTAAGTATTCCCTACTTTCCATGTCTTCCTTTTTCGTGACATCGCAAGGTTGAAACAGTGCTTTATTTTCACCATATTTTGCATTCAGTTTGCATGTTGCTTCCTCCATATCATCCATTAAAATATCTCCGAGAATAACTGCCTAAAACAATGAATGTGAAAAGAAGATATAGTTTGGAGTGAAGTTGTTGATATCGTTATTGTCATTGTCCATTCATGCATTTTGGGAGGTACGAATGCACAAGAACTGAAAGACGAGTTCAAGTTTGTAATTGTCGTGGCAATTAACTTCATTTATGAAATACTAGTACTTTATTGCTGTATCGCTGCTGTTCCAATGTTTTGACAGAATCAGAATCAACGAACTTAGGCGTGCGCAGCGTTATAGAATTTGAAAAATTGTTCTACAGCGCCATCTAGTGGCGAGTTACAGAAAAATTGATAGCCTAAAAACCGTCTCTATGAAAAATTACATATACATGTCAAGTTTCATCACGATCGGTTGAGCGATGTAGAAGTATATCACTTACCAACCAACCAACCAACAAACATCCATTTTTATATATTAGATGATACAAACGTGTTGCAAAATATCAATTGGAAACTGGAAGTGCAGCAAAAGATTCAATGATTCATTTTTAGCAAAATTTTAGAATAGTTCTTCCATGTATAATCCACAAAATCATTGAAATCGAGAAATTTTATTATATTTTCATAAATAAAAAAATTCTAATTCAAAGAGATCTGTAGATCATGCATAGAAGTTTCTTTCAGATATAAACTGAAAAGAGGAGTCCATATGAACAACAACTTTCAAGCATGTGAACATTGATTCAATGGAAATTTGTCTTCATATCCTCAGCAGTATCTTTTGTTTCATAAAATTACAAATTTGTCTAACTGGAAGACAATTCTGTTCTTGTTACGATGAAAATAAAACATCGTTACTTGTGATGCACTGTTTGGAACCTTTGATGTAAGTAATGTAAATTACTGGAATTTTGTCCCAACATCAAAACATGATTTCAACACTTCGACACGTGTTTCGATCACCGTGATCATCTTCAGAGTAATATCATACTAGATTGAACTAGTTCAATATTCCTCTTGAAGATGATCACTTGGTGATCGAAACACGTTTCGAGGTGTTAATAATAACAGTTTGATATTGGGATAAAACTCCAGTAATATTAGTTGATACGTTAGTCAATTTCTGAGTAGAGAGGACTGGATCCTCCGGTAGAAGGAAAAATCAAAAGTATATAGTTGTTGGTTCACAGATGGATCAAAACCATCTTCAGGTTCTGGTGCAGATGTTTTTAATCGCAGACCCAGGACAGAGACATCAACCTGCCAACGAGCAACGTCTAAATTGTAGTAAATTGCCAAAATCGACTCTCCTCAATAGAAAGACCTATCAAATTTTCTCTGGTTTGGATTCCAGGCCATACTGGCCCGGAAGGCAATGAGGCTGCTTGCTGACTCCCTTGCAGAGGAGGGTGCTGCAAGCAGCTTCATCGGACCAGAACCTGTCATTGGCATCTCTTTAGGGTTTGCCAAACAAACATTGAACATCTGGATGGCAAAAAGATTTATGGACTTTTGGCATTTTCTTCCAGGATTGGCTCACTCCAAGGCGCCCATTCACCCTTCGGAGCTTGAAACCAAACAGTTCTTGGACTGCAGTGGGTCAAGAAGCTGGGTTTATTTGGTCGAGTAGGAATAGGTGTGAGCCACAACAAACCTTTGCGGGTTGCGGTGGATGGTCGAATGGACCCACATTGACCTAACCTAGTTAATTTAACCCCAGTCATAGAAATTTCGTTTGAATTGAAAAAGGAGAGAATAGTTTTTGTGACGAATTTTTTCGTCGTTCTAATTCTTCATAATTCAAACAAATTATTTTTCCAATGAAAATAATCATGCACAGAAGATACTTTCAGATACAAACTGAAATAAGAAAACGTTCATCCAAAAAATTCAAACATGAATCAAACATTGGACGGCTCTTATTGGCATTTCTGAAAGTGATATTCTAGATTCTACTCTTCAATTATCTTCACAAAAAAATCAAAGGGTAACTAATCTGGTAGCTGATCACGATATAATGTGAATGACTTCCATGATCATCGAAATTGTGCCCCTTTGATTTTTTTCAATCCCACTTGCGTCATAGAATTGTCGAATCAAATCACTCCAGAAATATTTTGGAATGTGCAAGTACGTTTTGAACAAACTCTCTATTATGGAATGGACACAGTTGGTCATTACTTCAAACGATCGGTCTTCAAATTTTTTAACGTTATTTTCAATGAAACTTTTGGGCGGAGTTTGTAAGAATGGAATTCTAAGATTGTTTCGAAGACAGTTTCAAGGTGTCTCTTCCATAGATACTTTCACAGGGGGTGGTTAAGTTACTTGGCACATTTGATTCCACTAAGAGCGGTAAATATCAGAATTACGCGACGGCCTGTGGTGGTTGCTCATCGTTTTGAGGTTCAACTCAGTACACCTCGAACTTCACTGTTCAAGGACTCTTTTATCTGGAGAGCGGCTCAAGAATTTTCCTGTAGTATTTGTGTTTGGTCCTTGAAAAAAAATGGGAACTCATTCAAGTCTTCGGGCTGTATGAAAATTCAAGAGTGACTTTTATTTTCGATTGAAGAGGTGAATTGTAGACGACAGGTCTTTTTTCTTCAAAATCCTGACGCAGTTTTCGATAACAGTTCTTTTCCGTTTGACCACCCTGTATGTTGAATGAGGTACTACTTTCTTGTAGTCCCACATCACGCAAATAATTCAAAAATCCATGTTCAAGGTCAATACAATCTTATACCTATGTAAATTGGTAAATTGTTTGGAGTACTATTTTTCCGTCACTTCACTCTCATTATTCCTTCATCAGTTTATGTAGATAATGTGTCAGTTTAGCGATGGTGACCCTCAAGGCTCAATATTGAGTTCTATTTTGTTCATATTATACATGCACGAATCTCAAAACCATAATTCTTATCTGAAGTCCATTAGTGCTTATATAAATAATTCTAGCTTTCCTTGTGATTCCAACAAATCAGTTGCGATTGTCATCGGTAGAAAAGTTTCTCGTACTTGTTGCCGCAATTCTGCAATCATAATTCCTTTAGCTAATTCTTTGAAAAATTCAAGCGTCGTTCTTGTGATGTCCCACTTGGCCATGTCAATCTTATTATTTGACGAGCACTCTATAATTTGAAAGTGATTCATTCTAATTGAGAAGAACTGAATTGAAGTAGTAGAAGTAGAAATGTCATTTCATGAGATAATTACGTCACAGAAACCACCATACTCTTAACTCTCTAAAAGAATTACTTTTAGGAATAGGTACGGCATAAGTCCTATCTCAATCCGCCTCTGCACACTAACTCTCAGTTTCTATTGTCATTCTCATATACTGTTAGTCATCTTCATAATACCTTTTCCAATGAATTGAAAAAAATGTCTCCTGATTGGGTTAAAAATATGGTCTAGTCTGAGAGTGTATGTTAGTTGATGTGGTTTTTGTATGTATCATATGAAATAACTTTTGTGAAATACTATAAAAATGGCTATAAGATACATGTTTTTCAAGTGGTTTCATTCTGTCAATAAAGTTGAGTGGGAGAAAGCACTTTCCCAGCTCAAAAATGAGTTCAAACATAAGCTAACTTTACTTTTTGATAGATATATGTAAGTATTTTCTTCCTTCTTTCATTTCCCCATTGTTCTTTATTTGTACTATCTATTAATGAAATCGGGTATTATTATCTATTAGCCCCATCGGAAAATAAAAAAATGATTGTCGATTGATCTTGGTAGAGCTGCAAATGAAAGAGTATTTGCATGTCTTTAAGATAATTTTTGTTTCTTATTTATAAAATAGAGGTACATTCAATTATCTAATAAGTACCTGTGCTCCAGCTTTCAACAGTTGCTCGGATATATGAAAACCAATTCCCCTTGCACCTCCTGTCACTATTGCCACTTTACACTTTGCCGCTTGTGATCCACCGCATCCATCAGATAGGTTTCTATTTTGAATATGAGTCGGATAGTTGTTGTAACTGTTCAACCTAGAAACATCAATCCGTAACCTCATAGTTGGCAACTGCTGTGTTCAGTTACTCACCTGGGGTTTTTGTTGGTTAAAAAATACTGACAATTTGGTACTTTATAGAAAATGTGATTCGAATTCTTGAAATTCGAACACAAAGCCATTTTACGAAAATTTATGAAACCCAAACCCACGTCAAAAAATGTATGTCATGTCATGACATACGCGCCTGTGTGATGTAGATTTGAGAATTAGGTAATTGTATAGGGTTCATAGAGAATATCGACAGCCGTTGAAAGTCCTTTTTTTATTTTTACAGCTTGGATTGCTTACTAAGATTTGATACAACTGCAGTGATGAAAAACCGGAAATACTACGTCATATCGTCATATGAAAATTCACCAATTTTCATAATAGAAGTCAAAAATATTTACCGCAACTTATTTTCAATCACCAAATGAAAATAAGTCATAATTCATTCCCTCCAGACCAAATATTCAACAAATCCGTAAAACATAATTCAACAATTCAATATATCCTACTTTGAATTGAGGGGCGTATTTAAATGAACATTCTTATTACAAAATAGTTCGTGAAAACTTCAGTTTCTAAGGTTATCAGAAAAAGTACAATCGCTGGAGCTTTAGTGACTAGTATGTTAGATATGAATAAGACAAGTTGGTAAAATTACATTTATGTGTTCAACTATCATTTTTCAAACGACGACCATTTTTTGACAAGCATATTCGGAAAAAATAGATTTTTTGACGAATCTAACGATACTTATTTATTTGCGATTGGATAACAAACAAGAACATGAATTAAATATCATTGAAAAAAATACTTGATAATAATTTATTTACTTTCGTCGAATGTGCCATGGATAGACATGATGCTTAATATTTTGCAGTTATTTCCATCAAGTCTTCTTTGGAGAATAAAACATTCACCTAAGTTATGACAGTGACATAAGCTTTATGAGCAGAAGGTAAAAGTTTCTTAATTTTCGTTAAATTTTGGTTTGATTTTTGGTCAAAATGGATAAACGGATATGTTGTTATCGTTTGGGGAATGCTACAGAAAATTAAGGAATGCAGCTTGAGTTGTATGATCAGAAATATCTCAATAGGCAACATCCATCCCATCAGTATTCTCCGTATGTTGAGAATCGTTTTAGGCAAGAGGGAAATCAAGAGGCAGAACAGAGGTTCATCGAAAATGACGAGACTGAGATTAACGTTCTGGCAATGGTTGAGGTCGAAAAAATGGTTTCTGATTGGATTACAAACAAGAACATGAATTAAATATCATTGAAGAAAATACTTGATAATAATTTATTTACTTTTGTCAAGTGTGCCATGGATAGACATGATGCTTAATATTTTGCAGTTATTTCCATAAATTCTTCTTTGGAGAACAAAACACTCACTTAGGTTATGACAGTGGCATAAGCTTCATGAGCAGAAGGTAAAAGTTTCTTAATTTTTGTTAAATTTTAGTTTGATTTTTCGTCAAAATAATGTATACTCAAAGTGAAAAAGCGGATATGTTGTTATCGTTTGGGGAATGCTACAGAAAATTAAGGAATGCAGCTTGAGTTGTATGATCAGAAATATCTCAATAGGCAACATCCAGCCCATCAGTATTTACCGTATGTTGAGAATCGTTTTAGGCAAGAGGAAAATCAAGAGGCAGAACAGAGGTTCATCGTAAATGAGGAGACTGAGATTAACGTTCTGGCAATGGTTGAGGTCGAAAAAATGGTTTCTTTAAGAGAGATTAGTCGAGAAATGCCTTCTGGAAAAATAAATGCGATTTATTTTCAAATTCAATTTTTGTAATATGACTTGCTACAAATGTAATTTACATGAACGTAGTCAAATAAAGTATGTCTATGTCTAAGTCACGAAAAGATCATTCTTCATCAAGTAACGACCGAATCAATCAGAAAATTCAAATATCTGTTATGTCAACATTTTTATGCTGACGATGGTGATATACAAGTAGTGATTGGTATCTTGAAAATCATAAAGTTAACCCAAATTTTATCAACTTCATTCTATATTCCGACGAATAACGGTTTAAAAATAATGGTTTTTCAATTCCTGGTGCTGAGCCAAAAAAAATCAACATGTAATAAGGTCAAATAACAAGGGTTAGGTTGATCGAGGATCATTTTAATAATCTACCTTCAGCAGTTTTATGACAAATTTACTTTCAACAAGATGGATCACCCCCTCATAATAACGGAGACGTTCTTTATTACTTAATAGATCATTTCAATAAAGTTATGACAAATAATGGTCCATTACGGTGGTCTACCCGCTCACCTGATCTCACTGTGCTACGATTCTTCATTTGGGGATATGTTGAAGAAAGTGTCCACTATGTAACAGCCCCGGCCACTCTCGAAATCTTAAAATGAAGGATTCTACAGGAATTTAGAAGTATAACGCCTCAAATGTTGCGAAACGTGTTTAGAGAAACAATGGATTGAAATTTCATATTTAATAAACTAGTCTCTAAAACTCCACGATTGTAATTTTCTGAAATCACCCGAGGTCCTTAGATTAGTTCGATCATGGCCACCTAGATGCAATTTTAAAAGTAACTGAAAAAAACAAGTAAGCGTAAAAACTTCCGGAAATGTCAAATTCTAATCCAGATTTGTCTCAGAAATCCTAAAATATCACAATATACAGGGCGTTCCATTTAAAAATTTAGAACCGGAGCCATTTCCGGTGAAACCAGAAGTGACGGAACAAAGTCGTAGAAGTCGACTTTTTTGTTCCTCGCGGTCTTGGCGTTTTTCTTGGATTCGCAGGTTGTTCCGTCATCCTGTTTTTCAGTCGAGATTTCTAAATTTTCACTTGGAATATTTGTAAATTGTGGAAATAAGGAAACTTTTTATGCTTACTGAATTTTTTTGCTGTAATTCTAGTTACCTATCACTTTATTCTCAAATGACCTAATTTCTATGACATTTCCATACCTAATGTCCATATTTTCCTTTTTCTTTCGTCACTGAACTATAGCTGTGTCCTGTGGTTGTAGGACTGAAATTTCATCTCTTTGTGTCCTCCAGAACCAGTTTTTCGCTAATTTAGAAAAAGTGTTCTTCACAATTGTTTTATAGAGGTTTGTAAAAAAAATTATCTGAAATCATTTCCTTCGTTTTATGTGTAGATCTGAATCTCTACATTCAGCTCCATCTGTATTTTCATCACTGATTCTATATTTCGACTGAATATTGTTCACAGCTTTAAAAACGTATAAAATTGAGTTTGAATGTAGTGGCATCATTTCCGAAGAGAAATGGCGAACTTATTTGAATCAAATTTTTTGACAAAATTTGACAAAACGACCATGATAGCTGTTGTGCAAATCCAAACTGAAAAATTATCACTCGTGGAAGTAGGTACCATCCTTGAAGGCTCTACAATTTTTTGCAATATATAGTGCCACATAATTATGGTTAAAAATGTTTTGTGAGCTGAAAATATTTCTCATCATGCGATTAATTTTATTGTTCATACCTACAAATAACTTGTTTGCCTATTTTTCTAACATATTCTAACCAATCGTTGATTCAAATAAATGCTCGTCATTAAAATATTTAATGATGGATATTAAGCAAGATACTATTAAAAGTCACTTTCCGCACTGAATCAAGAGTTATTGTTGATTCCTGAAGATCAGTGGAAAACATTAAGATAATTCATATGCCAATAGAAATCAGTTTTTTCGTAGTGATGTTCTCTCGGGAATTTGCACTTCATAGATAGGCTTTCCACCTTCGGCAACCCAAACGCTTCCATTTTCTCCTTCAGTAATGAGCTTGAGCATTCCAATTGCTACGTGTTCAGGTCTGAAATAATAAGCAATCGTAAGATATTTTAGAGAATATTTGTAGAAATGTGATTTGATTGACAAAATTGGTATAAAAGGCTGTGCGTTTGTAAGAGACATAATTTGGAGAAACTATATAATCACGATAAATTGATGGATGTGGATTACTACGTGGTAGTAAATCATCATGAAAAATGATAAATAAAACTTTCTTGATTTCTTTGCCACTTTTATTTGTAACTAACGTTACTGGAGAAACGTTATAAATTGTTCTATTTTAAATTCGTAACATCATAATGATAATTGAACTCATGTCTCTTTGATAAAGGATGATTTGCATAAGCTGAATCGGTCTTCTCATTAAAAAAACTACTTCCGGCCTGTTTCATCATTTTGAAGCAAGTTCTCCCAGATTGACCAACATAAAATTTGGGATAACAACCACAAAAGTCAACTTATATAATGCTGATCTATTCCATTCTGAAATTTCGTGTTTTTATTATTTTCATTAAATTTTTTCCAATTATTTTTTCTCCATAGCACGTAGACTATGAAAATATTGGTGTATTCACCAACGAAGTTTCATTTTCTATCACCAATGTTCTTTATATTTGGGTAGATCTTGTTACTAGCTCGTTTCCGTTTTTTTTTCTCGATTATTATATCATAGTATTCATTCGTGCATTACTTGACATGATGTTTGTTCTGTATGAAAATGAAGAGTATTTCTTTTGCGTGTATTTATTGAGAATCCAAAGAGATCATTGTAACTTGGTCGGATATAATAAAGGTATGCTGACTCAAGAAAACACGACATTAGCAGTGTGGAAATATTCACATATTTTTCCGTTGTCAATTACGTTACAAGAAGAAACGTCGTTATACTTTCGAGAACAATGATAATTGAAACATTGTGCTGAATCTACGTTGCTATACTTATCGGGTTTTTCATAAAATCACACCTACCTTTGCTCTGGTAGAGAACCAAGTCCTTCAGCTAACACTTTTCCAATATCTGGATATCCTTGTAGAGCAAACTTCGATGCCTCTGAAATTAAGGGAGTATCGGTCACTCCAGGGCACATGGTAAGGAATTTAATTCCTGTCAAGTTGAAATAATAAGGTGTTCCGAATGATCTATTGAGTCCTACCACGAAGTGCTTAGTACCAACATAAATAGGACACCCATCCAATTCCTGAAGTCCTAGAATCGAGGCAATGTTGACTATTACTCCTCCGTTACCACCATTATTTTTTCCCATGTATTTCATTCCTAATAGTGAACCTTGGACAACAGCGTTCTGGAAATGTAATGGTTGCGTGAAAGGTGACTGGTGTCATGGATATCAGAATGAATCATTCTTAGACTCATATTTAATAATGTTATGTGGCTCTTCATCTGTAGAATTTCCAATAAACAACTTATTCTCATATAATTTATGGTTTTGTACTCTAACTGATAACATTGATCATTGTCACGACTGGAGTCACGTTTGGAGAAAAACAAAATTTAGGCTGATAAACCATACGGCAGACATGATGGTCACTGACGATGTCTGCCGCAGTAGCAGACGAAACGTTTGGTAGTACAAGTTCCATTCGAACACAGCGACAGTTAAGAGAACAACTTTTTTGACTGTTACACCTACCCCAAAAATTGTTCAGAGTTTCTCATTTAGTGAACTCACCTCCCCTGAAATTAATCAGAGTTCCTCATTCAATGAACTCATTTCATGGTGTCTAAAACGAATTTCCTATCAATAATATTGAACGTTCTTATCTATTCTTTATTTTGATTTCTCAAGGGGATATTTTTTCAAACCATGTGGAATTCCCGTTTCTGAAGATGCAATTTTTCTAGTCACAGTTGGAAGTTTTACCCGTCAGAATTTAGTTTCTTTATTGTATTTTTTCTATATATCCGAATGAGATTATGATGCAAATATCGTAAGGGTCATCTGAACTATGATTATAAAAAGGAAAGCTTTGTTTGACAAAATGGTTAAGGCTTTCGCAGCCTTAGTTTTGAGTGTCACTATTTTCTGGGTTTGAAGGCCGTGGATTTTTGGAATTTTTTTCTGACGTTTCGCTGGAGCAAAAGTTTCTGCATCCACGGCCTCCAAACCCGGAAAATAGTCACACTGAAAGCTTTGTCTATTTGTAATGCGACTACTGGAACAATTTTCAATTTTCGTTAATAATTTCAGCATAATAGTTATCACGGTGTCAATACCTCTACTTTAATAAGAAACTGAATTGACGATTTTCACAAATGTAATAAATAAATGTGGAAATTAGGTAGTATATATAAATAAGTTTTGTGACATGTAGTCAACAATTTTAGGCTGTGAAAAAAGTACTCACACAATTGATTGCAATTTCCAGTTCCCAGTTTGCATCATTCATAATTCCTGCATTATTAATAACCAGATCTAACTTTTTAAATGTCGAAATTGCCAATTTGAAAGCAGCTGAAATCAAATAATTTCATCATTAATATAGGTAACAATCCAGTGAAAAACATTCATTTGTTGTTTATTACATTTACCTTCCAGTTGATCAGCTTTGGTAACATCAGTTTTGATGAAAACTGCCTTATTTGCACCATATTTTTTATTGAGATAATCAACCGCCTCAGATCCTTTCAAACCATCTATGTCAGCTATAACGACTCCCTGAGGAAAAAATATTGGGTGAAGAAAAGAAAATAATTTGCAAATATACAGTGCGAGTCTCTAACATGGAACGAATTCACTAAATCAAAGGTGTTGTTTCTTCCGAAGATATGCTCGGACACGTCGATTAGTATTTTAAAGTGCCCTTATTTTCATGCAAAAAAAAATACAGTATGTCTCAAATATGAGATATGACTTCATCGATAATTTTTTCAAATGACAACCCTGTTTATTTAATAACTTTTATTAAAGGGTTCAACAAGTTGCACATGCCCTGTCAAATTTCAATTTTTTACTCTTTGTCCTTTGAAAGATATTCAACAAACATTATCTAATTCAAAATATGAATTAAATTCAATAGTCTTCCTTCAATAAATGCTTAGAATGTCAGGGATACCTGACAGTGACATTGTCATAAAAAAGTAAGGAGAGTAGTATCGCATTCCAATCATATTTGTGCACAAAAACTGTTAGTCGTTTCACAGTTTGTTGTTCGCCATTAGTAAAATGCCGTACTCAACTGAAACACATTAGATTGAAATTCTAATGATGATTGGCTACGGAGATAGGGCAAGAACACAAAATGAAGTTACCCATTTATTCAGAGAGAAGTATCCTGATTTACCACCCATATCGCGAAGTACCGTAAGCAAGATCGAAAAACAGTTCCGGGAAAATGGAAATTTAATAAAAACAAATAATCATCGTCGGAGTGCGCTCGGTGAAAAGGTGAAAATGAATGTTCTTCTCTCTGTCGAAGAAAATCCCCATGTCCCCATTAGGCAGATAGCTAGGGAACTCGAAATTAGCCAGTCTTCAGTGGCAAGAGTTCTTAAAACTGAAAAATTTCATCCATATAAAATAACAATCCTTCAAGAACTCACCGAAGATGATCCAGATAGAAGACTCCAGTTTTGCGAACAAATGATGGATCTACTAGACAGGAATGTTGTACAAAAAGAAAACGTTCTATTTTCTGACGAATCAACGTTTATGTTGAATGGTGTGGTGAATCGTCAAAATTGTCGTTATTGGGCAGACAGAAACCCACACTGGATGAGCGAAGGCCACACTCAACATCCAGAAAAAGTCAATGTTTGGGCAGGGAATGTTGCTGATCGAGTTTTCTTCCAAGAAAATCTTACTGGAGCAAGATATTTAGAATTCTTGCAGGAGGACCTAGTTCCGAATTTGGCTATTTTGTTTCCTTGTCCTATAGAAGCTGACTTTCCGAATAGAAACATCTGGTTTCAACAGGACGGCGCGCCTTCTCATTTTGCAAGACCTGTCCGTGAGTACCTGAATGATATATTTCCAGGCAGATGGATTGGCAGAAGAGGACCCTATGAATGGCCACTTAGGTCTCCGGATTTAACACCTTTGGACTTTTTCTTATGGGGTTACTTGAAGAGCAAAGTTTTTAAGACCGAACCGGCAAATATTGAGGATTTGAAAGAACGCATAAGACAGGAGTGTAGGTTAACTTTCGGCTAAGTAATCAGAAATGTTCAAAACGAGTTTCAGTTACGTTTAGGGTATTGTCAGTTAGTAAATGGACAACAGTTTGAACACTTGTTAAAGAAAGACTATTGAATTGAATTCATTTTTTGAATTAGATAATGTTTGTTAAATATCTTTTAAAGGACGAGGAGTAAAAACTTGAAATTTGGCAGGCATGTGCAACTTATTGAACCCTAAAGACTATTGAATTGAATTCATTTTTTGAATTAGATAATGTTTGTTAAATATCTTTTAAAGGACAAGAAGTAAAAACTTGAAATTTGGCAGGCATGTGCAACTTATTGAACCCTTTAATAAAAGTCTTCAAAAACCAGGGTTGTCATTTAAAAAAATTATAGATGACGTCATATCTCATATATGACACATACTGCATAATTTTTTTTGCATTAAAATAAAGGCAATTTAAAATACTAATCGACGTGTCCAAGCATATTTCCGAGAGAAACAACACCTTTGATTTAGTGAATTTGTTTCCATGTTAGAGACTCGCACTGTATATTTGCTGTGTTAAAATTTGTTGATATTCACTATTTCATCAATTTTTTTACACTTTTTTGATAACACAACTAACAACAATATACATAAAACATCCTTGTTATTTTTCCACCAATTTCATGGAAAATAACTTCAGTTATTTTTCAGAAATCAAATTATTGGAATATTGAAGCATTTCAGAACGTAACTGTGAATTATTTGGAACTTGAAATGATATAGCATTCAATGACATCAAGTTATTATTTCAGGTATGAATTTACAATGATTTAATTTAATCCCTGTCAAGTACCTATCTATTGGTTATTTAGAATTATTCAGAATCAAATTGTCATTTGGGTATATCTCTGAAAACACTTTGCGCTCTAGCTCTTTGAAGCGTTCATTTCCCAGTTCATCAAAGCTATTGGCACAATTATTGCGAGAATACATGAATAAAGAAGAGATAAATTGTTGTGATATTAGGACTTTTCATTAACACGTTACAACAAACTACATCAAAGAACTTACAAACAAATTTTTGACATAACTTTCTGCTTGACTCCAATCAATCTTGATTTTAGACAGTTTTTCACAAAAAAAAACCGATAATCCTATTTTCATTTTGCGGTTTTCAAAACAGAGTTATGTCTTTTACAAACGAATAATGGCAAGTAATTTTCAATATATTTTGGTTTCTTCTATCGTCCAGAGACAATATTCTGAATTCATTTCTCAATTGTGTTGTTCTAACTATTCTGTCAGAATAGATGCGATATTTTTTGTAGTACAAAAATCTCAAAAATTTGTTTTGAATCTTTTCTACTTCGAAAAGTGTAGTTTGATATTCTCCTAACCAAATTTCTGATCCGAATTCGAGTTTCGATCTGACTAGTGTGTAGTACAAAATCTTTATAGCTTTTATATTGGAAAAATATGATGTTCGTCTTACTATGAAGCCTAACATATGGTTTGCTAATTTAATTATATGTTTTACATAGTTTGGAAGGGATAGAAAGACCCAGATCTAGTACTCAAGAATTAGCTTCATATTATGTTTAACCACTAAAAATATATTTTCAAGATAACTTCCAAACATTTTGAGTGGGCTATCAGAGAGTCCAAACTCATTCAACTTTGTTAATAGTACATCATGATCCACTTAGTCAAAAGCCTTTTTAAAATCGGTAAATATTACATCGAGTTGTGACTTACTCTCAAGTATTTCATACCCTGTAGAAACAAAGCTGAATAAATTTGTATTCACAGATTTTTTGGAAGCGAAGCCATGTTTCTGAGGTATTATACTATTCTCAACATATCCATACAATCTTGAATATAATTTGTTAAAATAATTTAGAAGGTGCCGGCATTATTGATATAGCCCTAAAATTTTCAATGTCCAACTTGTCATCTGATTTGAAAATGGGAGTAACTATAGCTGTTTTCCATAAACCGGGAAATTAATTTGTCGTCACCATTTCGTAATATCACTAAGTATACAAATTGATATAGTACCGAAGTGATAAAACTCCCAAAAAAATTTCCAATTCAGTTATTTCAAACATACCCAATTTTGTTACCTCCAGAGTTTTGATTCCTCAGTTTTTCAATCAATCACTGTCAATATTTTCTAATTCGGAGGTAAGATTTTTTATAGGTATGAATTTTCATATTTCCGAAGTCATGTCGATTGAAAACTCTTGAAAGATGTGTACTGACTCCCAAATTGTTTTTTATTATAGAGAAAATCATTTGAAGTATTGTAATAATTTGAAGAAGTGAATACATCCACTCACCCCGTAGATCACTAGTGATGTTTTCTTGAATATGACTCTAAGTAGAAGTTTTTAAAAAGTTTAAATTCAATAAAATTGCGGTTATTTCAATTTTCGACTTATTCAAACTGTAATTATTCTCAGTTGAATCGATAATTCTGTTTGAGAAAAATCTGTTTTTTCGTTAATTCGTTAATTCGGAGGGAATTTTCACAATATCTATTCAAGGTAACAATTTTCCATCATTTCCATTATCAATGATTTTAAACTCAAGTTATAGGTTGTCCGCCAATCATATTGATACCCCGTACATAAAATTGAGTTATTTGCATAATAACTATGACAAAGTCTTTCATAATCATTTTAGATTTCAAAGAAGTTGAGGTCGAGATCGTAATGTAATTGAATATAATTGACCAAATGGAAATTGAATATTTTTTTCTGATGTGTGAATTCTGAGGAATTTGAAAATCATTTGTAAGTATCAATAGAACTACACGGATAAGGAATACAGCAAATCACTACCGACGATTGTATTTTTGACAATTTCACTTGATTAAAAATGGAAAAAAGAATTAGATTGAAAGAGATAGTATATTTCTTTCTGCTTGTAAACCATAGGAAAAATTATATCCAGATTCGCAAGTTTTACGGTATTGTCCCCCTGCATATTCTTTGAATCTCTGAAATTAATACTGGGAAACATTTTTATAATTTCTGAAATTCAAAAATCTGCTTCAACGTATACATATTCTTGAGTGACAATCACTTGTTGTTCATTCAACGTGCCAGATTCTTAAACAAAAACGTCAACTTACCCCAAGTCCATTTTTCAGCAGTTCTACTGTATACGCAAGACCGATTCCTGCAGCTCCACCCGTTATGAGAGCAAATTTTCCCTGAATTTCAAACACCATGTTCGTTCAATATCAGCTGATTTTGATGGATACTCTCTGGTAGCTAACGGAGAATGTTCGTACCTAATGATTCATTTGATATTTATATTCTTTCATGAACAGATAAAAGTAGCGATAAAGTAAATAAACAGATGTAGTTGTTGCGCATTCAGAGCCACATTTTATATTATGCAAAAAATGAAAGATAATCATGTTTTCAATATTTTTGTCATTAACCGTTCGAAATGAGACTTTATTTATCACAAAACGCTCTGAAGATATATTTGTTATTTTATTCAAAACTCAGATGAACCTAATGCATTTAACAAGTGAACCATTCTGTAGGTCACTTGATTAAAGTCATTATTTAAACAAGATATTGTTTGATTTAATTCGACAAGGAAATTAACATATACCATATGGTCGTTACATGTTCATATAATAGATTACCTTGTCAAACAAACATATCTTCCTATAATCAAATATGTACTTAGCTCTGCAAATACTTCGACATGTATTTATTGGCCGTGCAGATGTGAATAATTCATGAATATTACTTCTGAAGAGAAAAAAAATTCATGACATGTACAAATTGATTGTTAAACTACCAAACAATCAAATGCTGGAAGGAACAGGAAATACAGGAAAATTCTCGAAACGCTCTGAAAGCGGTGACTGTGCGAAAGTGACGAAGATTGTTGTATTTAAAACGCTCTAGATCCTATTCATTCGGAAAAATCGTTCCGGAAAGTTTATTCGAAATGTATCTAGTAGCACTTTGAATCGATGAAGCTACAATTTGTCATGTACTTCTTATATCTACTGCTGTTGGTAGAACCAAGTTGGTAAGATTCTGTCCGTGAAAGTATCTAGAGAAAAGGAACTATAGTCTATTTCAAAAGAGTGTAGAGTAATAAAATCTCATTAAGTATTCAAAAGCGCTACAGGGTGATCCGTCAATAAATTCTGTCACTTCCATAGTCCGCATTGCAAAATTATGTCGTTTCATAAAGAGCAGGTAGGTATCACCCAGTTTTAAGGGATTTGTCCATTGTTATCGACGGATAAATACTGAGCCAGAGGCGCGCTAGTGGGATAATTGCCAAAAGAATATGCATTCATAAAAATTATATTAAAGGAAATAAAAATTTTATTAAGTTTAATAATCCTAAGATTTGCCTACGCCCATGGACGACAACGAAATTCAGGCAAATTTTATGACACTTCATGATTTATTACTCTATACTCTTTTGAAATAGACTATAATGCCCAATATTTTTTTGTGATGCTGGATATCAACTACGCAACGGATTTTTATGAGGGTTTTTTAATAGACAGATAGAGAATAGATAGAGATACAGAAGTTTTATATGTATATAACATGCATAATATAGTAGAGAAACACTGGTTATTTTTAGAGGTTTCTAATGTGATGTCAATAAACACATTTTTTGCGCTTACATTGCAAACACTGTAAACTGTGATTAATTAATAACCATTTTTCATCCTTTACTTTTTAAGAGAAATAATGGCTCATTTATAAAGCGATTTTAGGCAATACAGCAATAATCCTCATTCAATGGCTCATTCAAATTTTTTTTTATTTCATTATTTGAAAGTTTTTGTTTCAAATAGTAAATCTGCAGAAAACCTGAAATTTCACTCTTTATCTTCCCCCTCAAATTAATAGTTGAATGTGGTCAATCAAGCTTGACGTCACATCAGTCGACTCGACGACAAGGTACCTACTGCTGGCGGCGATGGCAGCGATTCATAACCTCAAACTAGGTAATAGGGGAGCCCAAGCGGGGATTTCGGGATTTACTAAAGCGCAGCAGATTATATAGGGTACGCGATTAAGTACCAGATTAAGGTAGGGTGAGTTTATCACCTGCTAAAAAGTGTATATTCCAGTAATATTGTAAAAAAATACCGTCATTTCGACATTCTCGAGCGTAGCAAATTTTTTTTTATTTTGAAGGAAATAATTTAAGGATAACAAAAAACATATAATCTGACGATTTCCGCAAGCCGAAATAACAAAAATTCGTCGATAAAGTTTAATGCGTGCAGCTGTGTGATACCTATATTTCCGTCTCCAAATTTCTATTCCTGTTTCACTTTTTCTCTATCTATTACTCTCTCACTCCATCCCCACTCTGAATTCAGTTGCCATCACAGCTAATCACATAACATAAAGATGAACCATATATTATATCTCAATCTGATGCGCAGTATTTCAAAATGACGAATTTTTTGCACATTATAATAATGGCCGCGAGTTTGAGATCGAAATCGTCAGATTATTGAATGAGAGCTTCTTTTTGTTGCACTTAACACCCCCTTAGAAAATCTGACGCGGTCGATTAATTTTTTTTTTCTTTTCACTCTTGACCCTTACGTACAACCACCCACATCATGCAAACGATCAGATTAACATACCAACATTATTAAAAATACGTAGGACATTGATGCAATCAATATCTGACGCGCTCGAGTATGTCCATGCAACAGTATTTTTTTACATATTTAAAAATCTATAGCCGCTTTCCCCACTGATGAAAAGGTATATATTATATAACATTTTTTTCTTCATAACATCTAAGCTTTGCAACCTAATATGTCTCAATGACGCTCTCAATGACGAAGCTCGTTGCCTGGTGTGACGTCAAAATGTATCGCTAGCGATCTCACATTTTCAATTTCTCGTGCTCAGTTGGTAATTGACATCAAATCCGGAAAATTTTGTGGGATACTTGGGAGATGATTTACTTTTATAATATATAATTTTCAATAAAAATCTAAATTAGCCTGAATGAGCCCATAGAGTACCTTAAATTCATTTTACATTAAATATAGATCACCATGGCTCTTTACAACATGCAATTTAGATGGATACTTTCGAAAATATCACAGATTCCAAAAGCAGGGAAGTAGTGGTTGCGGCGGTATTGACGTGGGCGCGTGCCTATAAATAGCGCGTTGGAGGCTGCGCTTTGCCCTGTAGCATTAAACAGAAGAAAATAGAAAATAACGGGATGACAGTAGATTGAAACAAATTTTTAATATATCACAAGTTTCGACTTCTGAAGGTTGTCGTTCGTAGGGGTGCGACAGCTGGTTAACGGAAAAAAACAGATTTCAAACGGAAACAGATTTTGTAAGGTAGCGTATCTGATGCCGAGGTCAAAATAATAATGCATTTAAGTGTAGATGAGAAAAAAATATGATCATAAAACGAACGGATTCAATTGCTACAAATCTTTCAATCATCTGCTGAAAGGAATTGGTTTAGTCTGTGTACATATACTGAGTTATACCTCTTTGGAATTTCAAACCACTGATTTGTTTATTTCTCATCGTCTTTGGTGCTACTTTTCACTAAACAGTGGAAAAAAATTACCAAATGAAGGTATAATTCCTTGTTAAAACAACAATTATTGAATTATGGAGTTCAAGTTTCGATTTGAGGACATAAATATATCTAATTTCCATTAACTTTACCGATATTTCACACTGTCGCTGATTATATACAATACTTGTTGATTCCGCAATTTCTGGCACCATAAACCAAAAAACAAAGATGTATGAGCATTATGTTATATAACTAAAGTTATTTTTTTTCAGATTTTACTGGGACCTGTGCATGTTACTCCTCCTCGTTGCGAATCTGATAATATTACCAGTGGCAATAAGTTTCTTCAATGATGATCTGAGCACCCGCTGGATTGCCTTCAATTGTCTGTCCGATACCATTTTTTTAATCGATATTGTTGTAAATTTTAGAACAGGTGGGTATTATTCGTTGTGTATGATAGTTTTAGAAATATTTTTACACATCTATATCAAACCCTTCTCAAATTGCAAAAGAATGAGATCTTTTTTTATATTAGTGAACACTTTCGATGTATGTCCATGTAATGAAAAAAATCAATTTTTCAGGAGAATAAGTAGACATATGCATATGTTCGTAATAATAACATGTTTATCAATTTCATCTATAAATACATTTTCATTCGAAAAGTCTTTGAATATTTTATAAAATTTCGACAGAGTTGCTATTGCTATATCTATATATTTTCAGAATAAATCTATCAAATGTATTGATGAATTTCAACCCTTAAAACAATTCTTGAATTTATATAAACCGAGAAGGTCATTAAATTTGAATCCACTTGAAAAATCAGCAATTTTTTCCTTCATTCCTCTCACCTTTTTAAATATAGCAATTTAAAATTCACCAAAAATAAATTTATTCATAATTATCACACACATTTCTGGAATTACATCCAAGCAAATCAAAAACGGAAATAGTATTTTCACATTTGACAATTTACCTTCCCACATGTTTATATATTTTTAACGCAAATCAAATGTGTCTGAAGACTGTATAGAGGAGAGATACATACTCATACGTATAAGAAAATTAATTTTTCGAAATGGAATTTTGAAATATTCATCTCTTCCAACGTATCTACACAGTAAGTTCTTCCAAATTCCTACCGAAAAACAACAATTTACACGGCTAATACCACGCTAAACATTGAATTATATCCAACAGACATTCATAACTTACAGAGGTTAGTTTTGCGGTATTTCTCGTTCATCTATCAGCAGAATCGTACTGAAATTAGTCGAGTAGATCACCTACAGACTGGTTCAAAGGTATTACCTCTCATCAAGTCAGGAAAGATCCGACCCAGACAGCAAAGTGCCTGAGACACGATTTATTTCAACGCTTTTCATGTTTCATTTTTTTGTTGTGAAGGAGAGTCTATATAAGCATGTGTGTGATGCATAACATACTATTGTAGTAATCCATAGATTCCAAACAATCTTGCACACAGAAATGTTATAATCTATTCGGTTGCGACCTTGAGTTATTATTAAATATTTTGGTATCATTTTCACAGAAATAATTACTTCATAACAAACAAACTGCTTTTGCTAATATGCAAATATAATTATTATATATCAAAGCGACGTTTATCAATATCATAAACTTCGTTGATTAATTTTGTACAGCGAACTGAACGCACTTTTGATTATTATTTTCTCTATATTGGTCTCCTTTAGAATCACGTTTTTCAAAACGTAGT